CGGATGCGCAGAGCGACGCGCCTCTCGCGAAGCGCAAAGCAGAAGATGCGCCTGTTGAGCATGAAAAGAGGCGCAAGCTCAGCGTCTTTTCTCCTTGCACCTCGGGCGACTTGAGACGTTGCGCAAGGCTACCACCTGAGTTGTGGCAGCATGTTTTCTCTTTTTGTTCGCTTGCAGATCTCGGTCGATTGATCCAGGTCAATCGATCTTTCCTATCCTATCTCACAGACGTGCGCAGCGTGTCGACTTCAAAGTCGCATCCTGGCCGTCTGCATCTCCTAAAGTCTGAGTCGTTGTGGGCCTCTGCCCGCAATGCCATGTGTACCAAGCCTCCAAAGCCACTCCCAGGCTTCACTGAGCTGCAGATGTGGCAGCTGGCTTGGTCCAAGAGATGCCAGTTCTGTAACAAGCTTGATTCTCACACTCCAGGTGAGCGCGTATGGCAAAAAGGACCTGGCAAAGCAGGCGTGAGAGTCATCTGGCCCTTCGCTATCAGAGCGTGTGGGCCGTGCCTGCTACAACAGTGCCAGACGGTAAGTTGCGCCTTCCTACCAGACGGTCGCAACTGACATATCTAGGACGCGAGCCTTCTCTTTTCGGCTTCTTCCGCCTTACGACCCGCCCTCCCCTTCGCGCTACTCACAAACGACCAGCATTACGTTGCTGCATATGCACTGCAATCTGTGACCACGCCAGCCAACGTGGACATTGCCAAGTTCTACTACAAGAAGCATGTTGAGGAAATCACGCAGGAGATGAATGAAGCCATCGGTCGTGGCCCTACAGCAGCTGAGGAGTGGTCTAAAGGTCTCGATGCTCGCGGGAAAGAACGCATGAAGGTAGCCGAGAACTGGGAGCGCTGGGAGGTCAAGAATCAATGGATGGAAGAGCACAAGGATGCGAAGCGCGCAGCATCTGCAGCTCCCTCACACGCTGCCACGTCACACAGAGAATTATCCAAGTCACCCCCTCGCCGAACTCCTTCTCCCATAATTCATGCCCCGGTTCCAGCGAGTAAGTATACCTCTGCTGTCTCATTTGCTGCCAGACATGGCGATGCTTCTCGATACTTCAACAACACCCCTCCAGTTCCCAACCTAACAGGTGTAGCACCATCGTCTCAGCATGCGCAAGCCCGACCGCCCACTGTCCCACCACAGGCTTTCACTCCCTCTGGCCAGCGAAATCTCCACGATGCAAACGAGGCCAAGGCGACTCGGAAGACCGACATAGAACGACGGTGTCAGCAAATGGATCCTCCTATTGCTCCAAACATTCTGCGCCACATGGACTCGTTCAAAGCTGCTATCCAGATCTCACAGCCAATGAACGATTATGCATGGAGTGTGCTTCAGCCCCGCTTGATCGCCCAACTTCCTGCTGCCCAACAAGCAGAAGCCGACCACGTGGCTCGGGCTGCTTCATTTCCCACAAAACCAGTGGACCGCCGCCACCCGGACGCAAACTCCAAGGAGGCCAGAGAAGTCATGGACCGGGAATGGGAGGAATCGCAACGTCCCATCCGCGACAGGCTCGATGCTATTGCCGACGATTTCATCAACCAGGACTGGGACCATGGCAATGCCGTAACCTACGATAATAGCCCAAAGTTTGCGGCTGACCTTCTTGCTTACGTGCGACGCACATACTACGCTGAGGAAGCGGAACAGGAACCCGCTCCATCTGGGCAACATACGCGGCCTTCTACTGACAATATAAATGCTAGGCCTAAACTCGTCCTGGATAACATGAAGTGGGTGTACGATAATAAGATCAAGCCTCTAACAGAACAGTTCCGTAAAGACATCTTCCTGTGCCGTGGCAGTGGGTGCGAACACAACAACAAATTCTATGGTTTCGAGGGCGTCACGCAGCACTACGGGGCAAAGCACACTGCTGCGTTCAGTTCAGGAAACGTAGTCGTGGCGTGGAGAGAAGCCGAGTGGCCAGAGGAAACCCCGTTCCATCCAGATCCTCTGTCTGTGAAACAACCTCACCATGCTCACCACCCTTCTTCTAGCACGAACGGGTTTGGTGGCTTCTATGGCGGATACTCACGTGCAGGCACATCGACACCTCACATGCCTACTCATCATCCACAGGCGAGCCCTGGACCTTACAACTACGGAGGTCAGTACAATGGACCATTCGCTCCACCACAGGTTCCTTCTGGTACAATGCCCGGATACGAGTACCCCCAGCCATATGCGACTCCGGTGGATATGTACGCGCACCAAGCCATGGGACCTCCGGGTTATGGTGCTCACACGGCCCAGAACCCATATTTGACCTCTCCTGCAATGATCAACAACGCCATAGCTCCTCCTCCTCCACCACCACCACCCAACATGCCACCACCCGGTCAAGGAGTTCCTGAGATCGCACCCAGCGGTACAGAAGATACTGGCCAAAGTACTAGCTCGTTTGACAAGCAAGTAAGTACGGTCATCGAGATGACACAGGACATCTGGAAGCGCACCTCTGGGATCAAAGATATGCCGAACAGCCTTAGGATCTATGTGTTGCTACATCGCGTCATCTCCAAGTTTCATGTAGAGTTCAACCATGAACCGAACCTGAATCACTTCATTGATGCTATGTCTAATCATGAGATGCCAAAGGCTTTGAAGAACGCGCCAGGGCTCTCGTGCAAAGCTTGTCAGACTGGCTCTTCACATCACTTGGGAAGTTCTTTCTACTCGAAATCGGAAGAAAGAACAACATACACTGTTCTGGGTCTGCTATCCCACTTCAGGAGTCAACACCTGCCATATCAGCAACATATGCCTGGCCATGGAATTCCTGTTGCCCCTCTGGACTGGAAAGAGGACATGATCGAGCTGCCCAGCGAACGTTTCATTTCTGGACTCATACACGCTCCAGGCATGGACGACGAGAAGCTACTAATGATAGCAACTGTCTTTCCCAGCCTGTTTCCCATGCCATTGCCCAAGATCGGCGTGATTGATAGTCATGGCCTTGCGTCCCCGGCCTCATCAGGACCAAAGGATACGGACAAAACGCCTGGTGCAATCGATGTTCCTGGTGAAACTATAGCACGCCCAAGCTCTGTCATGAATGCTGCAGAAGTAAACTTGTCACTGCCACCCAAACCATTGGAGGCTGGTTACGAGCCTGTTCGACCAACCCTTGCCGGTGAATCGAATGAGGCATCCGGCTCCACAAATAGGAAACGTTCTTACCGACAAAGTCCGCCCGTTGAGCGCAGGCAACACCATTATGATGAGCCTAGATACTATGTAGGTGATATACAGTACTCCACAGGGCTTTCAATGGGACTAACATGCTTCTCCGTCAGGTGTCCAGGGATCATCTTGATGATGGCTATCATCGTCCGCGGGAATACGTGGAGTATGCGCCTAGTCCTAGGATCATCCATGCTGGTCCTGCGTATGACGACTATTCTGGTCGCCGGACAGCTTTCCGCGAGCAAGAGCGATTCTATGGACCTCCCGAAGATGTGGTCTATGCGCATCCGCGGGAAGGGAGTCACGGCAGTCGAGAATACAGTGCGTATCCCCGCCCGGTTCGATACTACGAAGAAGACGATCATCGGTCCGAATATCGGTTCATGAATGAGCGCCAGTCGAGAGACGCAAGTCCACCTCAAGGACAATCTGCAGCGGATCGATTCTTAGCGGAGAATGAGCCTCCACAGCCACCTCCGTCGCAAACACAACCAGAACCGGAGGCTGCAATACCAGCCCAGGAGAATGGAGACGGACCCCGTTACACGCCCCCACCTCCTGATACTTCTGTACCTGCTGAAGCGACGGCACCTGTGCGCCCACTTGCACCACCACACCCTCGTGCTCCATCCACTGTCTCTAACAATTCTCGATATGATGATTATCAATCTAATGGGTACCGGATGCCCATGCCTGGACCGAGCGGCCCACCACGAAGGTCTGGGCCTCAACGCCGAAGGGATCGACCCAATGACAATCGAGGACCGTCTCGATATCATCGATACATGAGCGTCGCACGCGAAGACCCCTACGGCCGCGGATCTAGCATGAGTCGTTCGCAGAGTAGGAGATATGAAGAACAACGGCGCCGTATCGATCAACAAGAAACACCGCAACCGAATGCCGAACCTGACTACGAGCCTGCGTATTCTAGAGAGCACAGTGTTGATCAATCTGTACAGGACGATGGCTTCTATCCGCCTGCCCGCCGTCACCCAAGGGGCTACGTATCTGTGCAAGATCGTCTGCATCCTCATGCGTACTCACCACCACGATATCGTTACGACGAACCTCGTGGGCCACAACCAGTTTATGTTGATGAGTACGGGCATCCCATCCACGACTACGAAGTCATTCGTGTACGCGGTGACACTAGGTATCGCGCCCCGTATATGCCACATCAACCTCATCGATACGAACATGATCCATATGGATACGTACCAGTACAATACGAGAGACCTCCACCACAGAGATACAATAGTCGCCCTGAAGAGTATATGTACTATGAAGAAAGGGAGAGACCGATGCCTAGGCGAGCGGTGCCGGAAGTGGACAACGATGCATACGAGCCGCCACCACCGGAGATTAAAGTGGAGAGTGTGCCAGTGCCTATGCCACCAGAGGCGTCTTAATTTCCCATGTTAGCGTGGCGTTTGAGATTGTAACGATTCCCTGGTCTTGTCTGTGCCTCTGCTATCCTTCATCTAGCTTTGCATGGCTGGGTGTTGTAGGGTCTAGTCGGCTAATGCTATCTCATTTGGTTTGATAGTCTACACTATCAAATAATGACGTTCTTGTAGTAATTTCTTTCCCGAATTTAATACGATGGCTTTGCTTCTACGAAATAGTCTCACTAGGCGAAAGCCAATACCTTTTCGTATTGTATGATATTGAGCATGTACAGCTACAAAAGGAAGAAGAATGACATGACGAACAGCTTTTATTTTGGCATATGTGCCTTCTATAGGGTATCAACATGAAAACAGGACAAAAGAAATGGACCAGGCATGTCTATGCAGTCGATTGAATGACTGGTTCCACTGAAGACTTCTCTTCCACTCCCTGAGCGGCAGCATCGATTTTGTTTTGAGTGAGGCGCTGTGACACGGTTAGTATAGCTCTGCGGTTCTTAGTATGATTACATACCAACAAGTTTCTCAAGAGCACTGCAATGGTGACCTTGCCAATGGCAGGAACGTAGATCGAGGCCTTTTCTTTGACCTCTGGTGTAAAGTTCCTCTCACTGGAGAAGTTGATGCATGCAGCTCCGTCCCTCATCAACTCCAGCGGGACTTTGTACTTGTCTCCAGGTACACCGCTGATGACTACATCGCTAAGTGGGAGGCAGTCATTGAGAGTCCAGCCAGGCTTCTCCACCACCTCGTGCCTTCGCTTCCTTAGACCAACGCCTCGCGTGAACTCTTGCACGTCACTAATATCCACGCTGTATACGTGGGCACCGTCGTTTGCCAGTAGTGCGGCCAACGGCCTGCCTACGACCTCACTTCTGTTGATGACGGTAATAGTGCGTCCGTGAAGCCTGTTACCGTACGGGAGGATAGTGTTGTAAATCCTCAGATACTCGAGGATCTTGATCACGGCCAATGGGGTACACGGCAAGATACTCTTTTTCGTGTTGGCAGGGTCGAGGAAGCGAATATTCTGGTACATGTTGAAAATGTAACGGTGCGATAGTCCCTCAACATCCTTGTCGATAGAGACAATCTGCTGGAGATACTGGTCCTGACGGTTGCCGAAGATGGGGTAGTAAACGATTATGCCGTCAACGGCAGGATCATTGTTCGCTTCGATGAGGCGGTCCTCAAGAAGTTCGCGATCGACTTCGCGGAGGTCAAATGCGAAGCCACTATGACAACGTTAGTAAGCAGCCTTCACCCAGCTTGCAACCAAAGGCATATCGATGGAAGAAGTGAGTTTCGATCAATGGACGCGCTCACTTTTCGACACAAGTTTTGCCCGTCCATTCTGCGTATACTCTCGCCGCAGGATCAGCGCTGGAGAGAAAGCCGACAAGGAGCGGTTTGCGTTGAATCTTGTTCAGACCATCGCGAACTTCGTCCAGAAGGCCCTTGGCGATGTTGTTCGCGAGGATAACTTTGCAGTTGGGTTTATCGTCGGCCATGGCGGGGTAACTTTGCTGTTTGGGGATACGTCTGGGGACTCAGCGGGTGATAGTCGTCAGTGCAAGTAGATCAAGAGATGAGTTTTCAAAGTCCGATTTTATTTCACTGCACGGGACCACGAAGACCAGTCAAGCTTCTTACATTGGCGCAATTAAACGCTCTTTTCTTCACTGCCGAACACTTCCCATCACTTTTTTTGCGCGACCCGCCCCACCATCCGATACCGGCCAATCAGCAGCACCGCAACTCCGTAACGTCATTGCCGGGAGTCTGCAACTTTCTGAATCGCGTGCTTTCGAGGTACCCAACAACACATTACGATACCCCGGACGCGACGAGAAGATGTCAGATATCCAGCAATATCTGCTTGACTTCGACAGAAACAAGAAAGAGGCGACGAACACTGCTCAACGGAGCGCGACGCGTATGTACGAGGCTCCGGCGGGGCATTACGTGGGATGAGGACTGATAGCAGACAGGACTGAAGAATGGCGAGTTGAAGCTTATAAGCCTGGTCACTGACCTTGGAGAGTTTTTAAATAGTGAGGATGGGGCTACACGATCAAAGAGTACGTACATCTAGAATTACAGTACGGTCTATGCTAATCTGACGCAGCAATGTCGTATCTCGCAGAGGTACTGGCATCGGTTCCGCAGAAGGTCCTCTCTCTTCAACAGCGTACGTCTACCACGATCACTTCACCCATACTACCTCGCCTTATGTATCAGTCTACCACACGCTTCGAGTCGAACCGAAGCATCAAACGGGCGTGGCGTTCTTAGCATGAGACTATACTGCAATGCGCAAGGGCTGGGCTAACACGAAGTTCAGGAAACCTACTCTGCGATTTTATCCTTTCCCGAACCGAAGACAACGAAGGCCTTGGATCATGTGCAAAGGCACTATCGGCCCTGGAGGAGCTAGGGAAGTGGGACGACCAGCGGGTAGTCGATATCATTGATGCCCTCCTGAACAATACACATCCGTTGCGCCAATACAAGCAGCAGAGCGAACGCTACCCAGTATTGCGCTTGATCGATACACTTATGGCAAAATATCGCGAAGTCCTACGAGCCCACCACGATGCGACGCCGGACTTTTTGGGACGCTTTATAGCATATTTTGACGGAGAGAAAGACCCTCGGAACCTCATGGTCGTGTTTTCGATACTGAGGGTGCCAATGACCGAGTGGAATATTGGCGGAGATGCTCAGGACCTATTCGACGCAGTCTTTAATTACTTCCCGATTACCTTCAGACCGCCTCCCGACGACCCGTACGGTATCACCGCGCAAGATCTCAAGGATCGCTTACGAGATTGCATTTCGTCTACAGCCGACTTTGCGCCATACGCGTTCCCTGCGCTCCTAGATAAGCTCGATTCCACGTCCATGAACACCAAGCGCGATGTTCTGTCGACCATTACTGCCTCAGTGACCGAGTACGGGCCGCGGACAGTATCATTATACGCAGTTACACTGTGGGATGCGCTGAAGTTCGAAGTCTTAAATGTACAAGAAGAGGATCTAGCGAAAGAAGCACTTGCAGGTCTAGCTGCGATTGCAAGGACACTTTCACTCGGTACTCCAGGATCACTCAACGCATATCTCAAACCAATCATCAAGGAGTGCAACGAGCACCTAGAAGATGCACCCACGAAACAATCGCAGGCTTCCGCAAGGTTTCTTCAGAGCATTGCCAACGTTTCCCCAGAAGTTACTAGAATTTTACTAGCCGGAGTACTCCCGAATCTCTTCTTACTTTTCCAGACAGCCGACACTATGGCAAAGCGCCGAGGATTACTAGAAGTTCTTGTTCAACTCGTGAAGGCCAACATCGACGTGTATGGCGACTGGAAGAAGATGGGTCCTGGCGGAGCAGAAGTTGGCAACAACGCGCTCGTTCAGTTCCGAGACCAAGCCCTGGAAGTAATGCTGAATGGTCTGGAGACAGCCCCCGTCAAGGAGGTGTCTTTCCGACTCGTCTGTCTTGATGGGCTCATCCAGCTATCGAAAGCGCGAGGATTGTTAAGCGATGAAGACATCGGTCGCGTCATTCAGCTTTTGCATTCCATCGTCATCCACGAAGAGTCGTACGGCAAGGATGAGATAAAAGAAGCAGCTATCAATGGCATCGTCGAGATTGCTCACCAGAAGCCACAGGTTGTCGTCGAGAGAGCATTTCCGGCTTTCCTTGCGCAGCTTCCAGATACGGATGCAAATGGATCAAACAATTACTCGACCGTGCTCGAAGCTTTTGCCAAGCTAGCAGGTGAAGAGCAAGTTTTCGACACAGTTGTACTGCGACTGAAGAATAAATTCAGCGCAGCAGTCCAACAAGGCGCTTCTTCTACATACATCGTCGCACTCCTCTCTGCGATGTTGTATGCACTTAAGAAGGGTGAGAACAAGTTGTCGCAGGGTTCGGACAGTTCAACCTACTACAGGGACATCGCACTACCACTTCTCCAGCGCGCATCAACTTCTGACGAATCACACCCGGCAGCCTTCGATGATGAGACAACACTGGATCTTGTCGGTCGTATTTGCAACTTGATCATCAGGTACTTGCCTATACATCAGCAGAACACTGTTGCTACTGAGCTGTACACCCTGTTCCGGGAAAAGCCACAAACTGAGCTCCCGCCTTTCAACCTCAATGCTGGTACCGAAGCGAATAAGACCATGATCGTCTCTACTCACCTCCTCGCCTCCCTTCGCAAGGATGCAATCTTGCCATGCGAACTACAACTACTAGTCTCTTCTCTTGCAAACTACGCCCAGCAACCCTCCCTATCTCTACCTATCCGATCAGCCTCCCTTCGTCAAATGTCGCTGGTCATCAACAAGTACTACACTTCTGCAGCACTCAAGACAAGTATGGACCCCCTTGTCGCCGAGCTCGATCTCTTTAGCCCAGAGAAGCTTGATCCACCACGGATACGCATCATCTTCGCTTGTCTTAAAGGCATAGTACTACGGAGCAGCCCTGCGCTGAACACGTTATACCCAACGCTCTTGTCACTACTATCACATCCGAAGTATGGAATTACAGTTGCTCAAGGTTTCACAACTCTTCTGCAGCCCGACGACCTTCTCACCAAGGAGAACCACTGCCAAATCCTTGGCCTGCACAAACACAAAAGCTTTGCTTTACTGGTGCCAAGTATCACAAAAGCGTTCCGAGAATCAGGTCCGCAGACCAAACCCAATTACCTCATCGCACTTAGTGGTGCGCTAAGATGGATGCCTTTTGACATAGTAGTCGAAGAAGTTGGGCAACTCGTTACCCTCCTTCTACAATCGCTTGATCTCAAGGGCGCTGACAGTGTTAAAGAAGCCGCGATTGGCACGCTTACCTCTACACTTGTTGAGAAGCCTGAAGTTCTCGAGGAACATGCTGGTGCGCTGATCTCTCGACTTCTTGCTAATGCTACTATCAGCAAGGAGAACAAGGCTACACCACCACCGCCAGCAGTCAGGGTGGCGGCGTTGAAGTGTTTGCATCTGGTAGCAGAGAAGTTCAAGGAGGAGAGGATACTAGGATATAGGAGGGAGGTTGTGAGGAGACTTATTGCTGCGTTAGATGATGGGAAGAGAGAGGTCAGGAGTGCAGCGGTAAAGTGCCGGGCGAAGTGGTTACTAGCTGACGAACCCGATGATGAATAGATGGTAGACACAGCAGGAGACGTATAGACTATGAGCGTTGCTCTGAACAACTCGACTTTTGAGACGCCTATGACTTGCTACAAACGTGCAGAATGGTATAGTCTCGCCCAATATTTGAACGCCGGAAGTGCCTTTAACGCCACCCATGCAATTACATCTTGTGCCTTGTTACATTTCATACCCTAACCTTTTTGGGCGTCTTCTCCTCATCGTCGCCTTCACTTGCCGTATCCTCAACACCAACTTCCTCGTCCTCGTCCTCGTTCCTTCCTCGCTTAAGACCCTTCATCTTCCTAGTCTGCAGATTGGCAAAGTCTTGCTTGCCAACATGGATCTTACCCGTCTTGTCACCCATGATGTCAGTGTCAATGTTCTTCTTGGTCCGCGGCTCAGCACCCTTGGGCTTCTTGAGCGATTCCTTCAGCATATCCGGATCAGGGAACATCTCGCGGCCGAGCGCAAAGTCCATGCGCGGGCCCATTTCCTCAACTTCGATGCGTGGCAGCTTTTGGCCTGAGCGCTTGGTGCGGAGGAGGTAGAAGCGGAGTTTTATTTGCGGGTTGGGGAGCGCGTCGGTGGGTTCTTCGGCGGAGATGGAGATGAGGTACTGGAGGCCTTCGACGTCGACTTCGGTCGCATCCTGGCCCTTGAACAGGTCGATAAACAAGCTCTTTGCTAGGGTGTACTTTGTCTGGTTGGGATCTTCGAAGACGGTGCCGTGGAAGCTGATTAGTGGCTTCAGGCCGATTGACGGCTTCTTGTTCTTGAATTGCTGAAGCGTGCGGAAGGTCTCTGCGTTGATGTACAACTCTAGCATATCCAACATCTTGTATGAAAATGTTCGTGCCAACGTCAAGCAGTGCGGTCGCTTCTTCGAGTGTAGAGACAGGACGAGGAGCGAGGTGTCGTTCTTCTGGGAGAAGAACTCGAGCGAAGAAGCATCATCGAAGGGGTGGATGTCGTTCTTCTTGGTGAAACGCTCAATAAAGGGTCGCTTGATGGTGCAGAGATCGGCGACGGCGAGCTTGAGGATCTGAGAAGTCTTCTGGCCAGAGACGAAGAGCGTGGTCTTGGGGTTCTCGTTCTGTTGCGGTTCGCGCTTTGCCATTGCGCGCTTGGCGCGAGCATTCTTTGGTTTCCTAGTGAATCATGTTAGGATCGCCTACGCGTGGAGGAGCCGCAGCTGTCTTTGACGTACACTGCCTTGATCATTTTGTCGTTGTTAATCTGGGTGGTTTCCTGATGCCGAAATCTTGGCTAACAAAAAAAGTCCGGGGCTCTGCGGCGCCGGGGAGACTATTGGCCGATCTGATAACAAAGCGGCAACGGCGGGGTGATTCCGCAATTCGGCCCTCTGACGTGATTTCACAGGCTGTTTCCCTTGGGCGGCGACTAAATATTAATCAGATCATACACTCATTCGAGAACACCAGCGAGCCTCCACATCCACACTCACCTTACGCATCCAACCGCCCTTCATATCCCGACATAGACTATCGACACAATGGCTACCATGCAGGAGATGACGGATGAGTCGGCCTTCCAGTCGACCATCTCCGCGCTTGCGCCCTCCACTCTCGCCGTCATCTACTTCCACGCACCATGGGCCAAGCCATGCGAGCAGATGGGAGTCATCCTGAAGACGCTCGCCAGCACATACCCCGCCGACGCGCCCATAAAATTCCTCTCGCTCAACGCCGAAGACCTGCCTGAGGTCTCTGAGCAGTACGATGTCACTGCCGTCCCATACATCGTTCTGCAGAAGGATGGCAAGACTCTCGAGACAGTTTCAGGCTCAGATGCATCCAAAGTACGAGCAGCAGTTGAGAAGTACGCTGGTGCCGGCAGCGGCCAGTCGTCCAGTCTACCACCCGCGCAAACCGTCACACGACCACAGGAGAACGGCGACAGCACGGGAAAGAGCCTCGCTGGCTACGCGCCTGGCGCACAGGACCCCAAGACCGCACCCGAATACAGCGCGAGCGAGCACCGGGAAGGCGAGCAGCAGACAAACAAGGACGAGTTGCACCAGAGACTAAGCGAACTCGTCAAGGCAGCACCAGTCATGTTATTCATGAAGGGTACACCGAGTTCGCCCCAGTGTGGCTTCAGCCGGCAGACAGTGGCAATCCTACGTGAAAAGGGCATTAGGTACGGTTTCTTCAACATCCTGGCCGACGACGAGGTGCGACAAGGACTTAAGGAGTTTGCCGACTGGCCGACCTTCCCACAGCTCTGGGCAGATGGTGAGCTAGTAGGCGGTTTGGATATTGTAAGTATACCACCCTCGAGCATTTACACACACTAACAATTCGCAGGTCAGGGAAGAATTCGAAAACGACCCCGGCTTCCTCTCGCAGCACGCCGCCAATGCTCCCAAGCCAGCAGCCTAGGTGGCTTCACGAGCCCAAGTATGCCATGATAATCAGATTCTGAGGAACGGGAGAAGCAAATGGAGAGTTCAGGGCTTGGTAAAGAGATATTGGACCGGCATCGCCAAATTACGACGATTATGACAGCAAGATCTCGTATGAATAACGCGTCTGGGTGAACGGGTGTCTTGGGCGGGCTTGATTGTAGGTTCCAGACCATGATCCAAGGCATGCATATAGACTTCCGTGGAAACGTAGCACTTGGAGCATGGTACCGTAGCGCTGGCGTGGGAGTGTGTATTTGGTTTGTAGTCTTCTCCAATACCAGTTTTCTTGCTCGCGTTATCCAAGTCGCTTTGTTCATGTTGAAGCGACCAGTCCTGGACATCTCTTCGACTTATACTACGGATAGAAGTAAGGAGAATGGGGGAAGCTTGGAAGGGGAAGACACTTTATTCATGACGATGCGTCTTCGCTTCTCAAAGACCATAATCGGGTGGAGCACGGGGTTTCGGGTCTTTCAGAACACCAAGAGTATCTACGGTTGATGACTCCTCGTGCTCGGTCAACAGGGGCGTGTAATGCTCCCCTATTCGATGAATGTTCAAGACGTTTCTGAAATTTACATTACCTTCCTGCAAAGTCAAAATTGAAGCTCGGATATACATGGAGAAAACCATGAGCACTGCTTCTCAACACAAGAGCCACATGTTCAGATGATAGCAACTCCGAAGCAGATTGAAGAAACCTATTAACGAAATCTCTCCCGTCTGCGCGCAAATATCAAGTCAAGGATTGGCTCCGCCACTGTTTCAATATGTCGCTTGCGATATATCTTAGAGACATGTTCATGTGCTATATGCTTGTACATGCTGCTGTTATGTATATCGCTTCTGCTTCCTATGCGGTGTAGGTGTGTTTACCTCACAGAAAAGTTTAGAATATCATAAACCTACAACCGACTTTCCGTGGGAGATATTGTCAATGAAGTCTGTGTTATGGCACCAGAAATATTCACTTCGAATTAGTACATGGATGGACCGAATTGCATCGTCGTTGGGCCTAATGGGGACTTTTTGCTTCCATGTTTTAGCTCAAAGAACGAATGATGGCCGTAGTCTATGTGTGACTATGCGTGGGAGGCCAATCATGTTCTACGTGATATGGGATATCATGAACTGTGCCCCTTGTAATACCCTTAGCGTCTGGCTGCATGTTCGACGAAGCCATTCCCATTGTGTTATTGTTATTGTTGTTTAACCTTGCGTAGATGCCAAAGCAGTGTGATTGTTGGGCTGACATAGAGAATTGAGCGCGTATTCGATGATGACACAGATTAGCGCGTTCCTGTGCCGACGCGGTTCCCCGCCCGTCGTTGCCTCGAATTAAACCTTCACCGCAACACTCTTTTTCCATCGTAGATCGTCAAGACTTATAGGAGGCTCTAGTTTGGGCATTTACAGGCTTTGGACAGCGCTGCACACCATGGGTGTATCATACCTGGCACCATAGTTATATGCAGGGTCAGCGGTAGTACGCCTTCAACCACGCTTCGGACTCCGAGACTAATCACGGCACGTTGATGGTATGCCGCAGACACGGTTTTATTTTAGGAGTCAGCCTGTCTCAGTATGATCTGCTTGCAACCACGTCTGTTGTACACCAATTTACAGTGTTGAACCCGATCCATCACTTTCTGAGGCTATCACTCACAGCACACAATCTATTGGTCGCGGCCATTTCCAGAGTGAAAGGCGACAGATAAGCCACAACATGCCTTCAACCTACTCACAACCAGTCTCAAAGATTCCTCCGACGAAACCCGATACAAGGTCTCTCCCTCGAATTCTCTGCCTACACGGCGGCGGCGTCAATGCCGCTATCTTCAAAGCGCAATCGCGATCCCTCATACGCCATCTTCAACACTCCTTTCGCCTCGTATGGGCTGACGGCCCCTTCTTCTGCGATCCCCACTCAGACATCATTGGCGTATACAGTGACTACGCACCTTTTCGGCGCTGGCTACGATGGCTTCCTGAACACCCTGAAATCGATGAGGATACTTGTATAGAAGAAATTGGATATGCGATGCGAACAGCAATGGAAGACGATGACCGGGAAGGCGGCACAGGCGAGTGGATAGGCTTGATGGGTTTCAGTCAGGGGGCGAAGCTATCCGCAAGTCTACTGCTCGAACAGCAAGCCAGAGAAACCCAAGCCCGCAAAGAAGGAACAAAGATTGCTACTGGTCTGACGGGAATTCCAGGCATAAGGTGGAGATTCGGAATATTACTAGCCGGTCGGGCGCCCTTGAGCAATCTAAACCCCGAGCTGATGAAGAGCGACGCACTTGTGAGTGCGGGCAACATCTCTGAAGGTTTCCAGTTCTGTAAAGAGGTGGACGAGGAAGCCACGCTGCACAAACCAACGCTCCATGTCCATGGCATGGCAGACCCAGGACTACATCTCCATCGAAAACTGTTACACGAATATTGCGAGGACTGCACGGTAACATTGGTTGAATGGGAGGGCGCGCACCGGATACCACTCAAGAGTATGGACGTGGACCGAGTGGTTGACGCAATATACGACATGGCTGAGATGACCGGTGTGAAGGTTTTGAGGACTGTTTGAATTCACGAGATGGCCACTTCTGGGGCATCGCTGTTACTACGCTCAGTCGATGCCACCAAACGCGATCTTTGAACAACCATTTCTTCCGTATGGCCTACGTATACGCAAGGATTCTGGGCGGTAGATATATGAAGATCACCAATAACAATATTCTGACAATGTACCAAAGCTTCTCACTTGTTAGTCGGCGTCCAACTATATTGCTTCCCGGTGCGAGATCTAGTATGGTGCATCTTGCCACAAGCACCACACCTCGTATCTGCTTACAAGGGAAGCCAACCGAAGTACAGAACGCCATTCAGCTCGGTTAGCTTCGAGCACGCACGCCCTGATCCTACCTATTTCTCTCACGCTTTGTCTTGATTCGTGAGTGAGCACAGGTGCTTGATGTGGCTAATAACGTTACACTGAATGCAACAGTTTCTTGTCAGATTATCTTAAGGGAGTAGAGGCTCATCGTTACGGCCATTGCCAGGCCCTGCGTGAGCTTTCTGCCACGTTGAGACCTGGAGGCTGGTTCGAGTGCCCTCCACTCGGCATAATGTCTTAATCGAAGTTCTGGTCGTCATCAGATGTAGAGAGGACATTGCAGTCATCATCATAGACTCTTTTGGTCCTTGTAGTCAGACTATCGAGGACATGTAGCTCTATGGTGAGTTGCCTCTGAGACTTGTATCTCTTGCGCGTTTGTGTAGTTACCTCTTGACTGAATGGACAGTGGAGTCTAAATATTTTCATTCAAGTGATCAAATCTCGGCATTCTTCGAGTGACGATACACATGCCGCTTGACGTTTGAAGTCGCATGCTTCTTGTTGCACTGGTTTGGGGTGTTGTGTTTTACGCTCAGTAACATGATCTGCGTGCTCATGGACGAGGACCTCCTGAGAGGTCCATTTTTACACTAAATGATGTGATTTAACGATGTATTCATGAAAAGCTTAATAAAATAGATTAGTGATGTCTTATTGTAACCTTCTCTTGATCTGCCTTCTTCTCCTCCTCTTCTCTCTTCAGCCTTGTCTTTTCTGCTAACTCTTGTCTCCACTTCATTCCATATTTCATGATCCAAATGACGACCCCAAGCAATACAGCCATCACCAGCGCTATGAACGTAAACGCCCATCCCGGGTTCATAGCATGGCACATCGGGATAATTGCCGCCGAGCCACCAGCACTCATCATACACCTGGCAAAGTTGACCGCTGCTGTCGCAGCTGCGGGTTTATCACGATGGAGATCGAGGAGCAAACCATTGGTGATGTTAAATGCACCAGTCACACCAAAGCCCATGATGAATAGGGCAACTTCCGGGCCAACGATGTGTGTTCGATATTTGAGTGTCCAGCCGAAGATAAGCACTCCGATCATACCAATGATGTGGCATGGAATCAGAATCTGTAGACGAACGCGCTCGATGGGAAAGTTGGTAAGGTCTTGCTGTTTGCCTTTGGATATAGTCATGCCAACAGCTTTAGCATAGCGTCTGAAGTTCCAATCGACAACTCGACCCAGAGTGAGTGAGGCAATCAGAGAAGCTACACCATTCGAGATGTAGCAAAGACCGATATGCAATTCATCAAGGCCATACGCAGCGTAGAACAGTTCTGGGATGGCAGAGATCGTAACCATTTGACCAGTGAAGAAGAGGCCATTGTAGAGTAGGATGATTCCTGACTCCTTTTCAGCTAAGATGCGGAACGTTGCAAGCGGATTTGGCCAGGCGACTTTCGTCTTCTCTGGTTTGGGTGTGCTCTCGTTGGGCGACAGCTTAGCGAGCTTACGCGCTTGTATGCAGCTAATGACAGAGCGGTTGACGCCCTGAGGAGGTATAGAGCCATTGCCAACGACTTTTCGGCAAGTCTCAGGGAAAAAGAATACGAATATTATGAGCAGTACTCCAGAGAAGATGGCCAGAAACCAGAAGATAGATCGCCAGCCCAAATATTGTGCCAGCAGGCCACCTATTGTCGGACCGAAAGCAGGGCCCATCAATACACCAGCTTGTGCATAACCCATGTAAGTTCCTCGCTCAGCCGATGTAGAGATATCCGCAACAACCGCCATTGTCAATGCAATAGCAGCTGTGCCTCCCACGGCTTGTACCATACGCAGAATGAGAAGTGCAATGTAGTTCTTTTGGAGTGCGAGGCCGATGTTGCCGATGCTGTAGATCACGAAGCATATGATGAAAGTCAATCTCCGTCCACTGTTGTCCGATAGAGTTCCGAGGAAAGCAGGAGCTATAGCTTGGGCGATCTAGGACAGTTAGTTGCAGTACCGATGTCGGTGGCCGCCACAACGTCAGCGAAGCCTGAGCTGCAGAGTGTCCTGTCCATTTCATACTGAGATCAACTGTCCAGACGTACCATGTATGTCGTGATTGAGATGTTGACCTGTGTAGGTGTAATGTTCAACACATTGGAAAGCACATTGAGTGCTGGAAGGAACATAGACGCGCCAAACGGCGATATTAGAGCGGAGATCGAAACAAGTAGGATGATCCATGCCTTCATGCCTTTGCTAAAGACAGAGTAGGGGGGTTCAGAAGGCTGACGTTCCAGGTTGGCTCGCGGTCCATCTTTCTCGACGTCCATGTCCTGACATGTCTCTTTCTCGCTAGTAGCGTCCACGTTATTACCGCTCGTTATGTTTTTCGTCGTAGCCATAGCGAAGCTATTTTGACCTCAGCATATGGGCAGGATAACGTTGAATAGTGTATCGAGACGTAGAATTAATGTTTAGGTCTGGAAGATGCGAAACTGGAAGGGCTATCGACTGGTCATGGGGGTCTGCCCACCCTTAATCCACCTGGTCGCCTATCGAACATGACGCTAATGCCGGGACGTGGAAAGGATGCCGTGCCCCGTTGAATCTCCAGCCTCGTTAATTCGAGGGTTTGAACGCGTGCGAGCGAAGTACTGTATGCAAGCCAGGGAGCAGCTGGCCGATGTTGACCGATTGTTATGCAGGGTGGAAGTATTGATTGAGACAGACCCTGTACGGGCAGATGTGCTATCTCTGTTGTTGCTATATCTCTGTGCTTACTGCGCGCCTCTGTGGAGCGATGACGCACTTGCACAGGTCTTGAAAGAGGCAGGCGGGTTGGTGTCGGGGCGGGTATTCCGGGGATAAGATGTCGGAAAGCGACTTCCGGCGCGCGATCTGGAGTGTTAATGCCGAGGGCCATCGCCCGCGTAATGTTCAACCGACTTTAACAGGATCGACGTGGATTGATGTTGAGACAAGCTTTCATAGCAAAACCTTGCATATAAACGTGGTTTGTTGTTTTGAGAGCGATGCGCTCTGTGACGCGAGTAGTGCTGCTCAACGCTCCAAAATTGATATGGCACAAGTCACTATGATTACGCAAAGCCGGACCTCGATACTGAACATATGCCTATAATTTTTTGTACATACCACTCACGCTTTTCGTAAACTTCGTGAGTATCCAACTTGTTGAACGCCGATAATATGCTCTTTCTCGTAACATCGTAGCGGAAGCCCTGTGGAGCCTCCATTGGGTATGGTTCCTATGTGTAGATGTCATCGTCGCCATGGAAGAACCTCAACACTGCTTTTGCGACAAGAAGACCGTCATGCATCCAATCCGCTCTCTCAGCAGCCTCGTCTGCATCCTGCTTGCTCACGCTCCCACTCTCAACCCTCATCTCAAGTTGCCTCTTAACAAGAGTTTCATCAAACTCCATGTGGCCTTGCGTGGTGAACAATCTCTTGTGGATATATACACCCTGAACGCCAGTGTGGTCACTGGTACCCCAAACGTGAACCTTGGTGTCCTTTGGTATCAAATCGGTGGTCTCTGTGGAAGGAGGATTAACGACGTGATCAAGATGCATCTGGTGAAGGTGGATCTTGGTCTCTGTTTCGGGAAGGTTGAAAAGATGGCGGCCAATGTCGGAGAGCTGGATGGGCTGATGGGACAACTCCCATTCACCGTCCTTCTGTGGTTTGACGGTAGCACCAAGAGTTCTGCAAAGGATTTGGTGTCCGAAACATATCCCTGTGAAACGGATGTCGGGGCGATGTGTCCAGACGTCTGTCATGCCATTAGCCATTGCTGAGTACCTTCCAACCACACATGCAGATACACACCTTTTATGAATTCAATGAGCTTGAGAATCCAAGGGTCGTCACCGTGTGCGTCCCAGCAACTTCCTGTTATGAGGATGGCGTGTACGTCGTCACCAATCTCCTCTAGCTTCGGTATCGCACCACCTTCTGGCTCGACCACGTATTGCATTGCGGTCTCGATACCGAGACTAGGTTTGTGCTCATCTCCAGCTTTTTTGAGAAGTTCACCTAGAACGACTCCAAAGGAGCCAGTCTCTTTTTGAGTGTCAGGATGTGTCTCATCTGTCTCGAGAACAAGCATGCGGACTTTGTCCGGATGGTTGGACAACAGTGTTCGGTTTTGTGCGACCGGTGGTACCATCTTTGCTGTAGAAGTGTGAAATTGACGTGGTATAGAGGAAAGGAAGCGACGTGAAGTAGTTGGCCTGCAAGTGGCAGCTTTATGTGAACAGGGTCCAACCGGTCTTTTGGGAAAGAGTGACGTCTGCCGTAGAAACTTTTGCGCAGAAGTGACCGAGCGTGCGGGCTTGTGCATAATCAGGTCAAGTCCGAGGAATCAAATGCAAGTTCAAATGACAAGCACCAAGGCGCTGTCCAAAGCAGCTTCATGTAGTATACTTCAGCCTCCATCTTGGCGTTGTCGTGTTTGAGGGTTCGATGACGACTTTGCCTTGACGTCGGTGTGTTGTGGAGAGAGGTTAAGGCCTAAAATCGAAATTTTGACGTAATAGCAAAGTCTTAAAGTCTTGGGAGCTCTGATGCATCCCGATGTCCCGGCCAGTTCGGAATAAAACAGACGCTAGACATGCAGGTACTGAGGATCGATGTGGCTGCGTGGCTGAGCGAACTGATCTGATTTGTCTGTCTATTAGACCGACTAATATCATGCTGTGGCTGAAATATCTACTCCACGCCCTTGCCCTTCATCTTGAGGTCTTCGGGGTCATGCGGGGCTTCGGCTTTCTTCCCTGCCGATTCCTTACCAGTCATGACTTCGGTAAAGATCTTTCGCAACGCTTCAATTGCCTCTTCGCCAATCTGGTAATGCACAACAAACCTACCACCACGCACCCTTACGCCGTACTTCTCCGCTAGTTCGATAAAGTTGTTGATGTCAACATGATGCGCCTCGAGATCTAACCAAACCATGTTGGTGTCTACGGGATATTGCAGCTTGCCACCAAGATCGGTCCACATGCTTGCAATCTTCTTCGCATTTTCGTGAGACTTGGTGAGCTTGCCGCCAAGGAACGTCTCTTCAATGGCAACGCGCATTGGAGCTGCAACGACACCAGCTTGTCGCAGACCTCCACCGATAGACTTGCGGATCCAGCGGCTACGCTTGATGAAATCCTTTGTACCGACGATGATGCTACCAATGGGCGCTCCAAGGCCCTTGCTGATGCACAGGCTTATGCTATCGAACTCAGCGCAGTACTCCTTCAAGGTACCAGCGCCTGCAGCTACAGCTTCCCACAGACGTGCACCGTCCAAGTGCATTATGATGCCGTGTTGGCGCGCCCAAGCCGATATCCGCTTCACTTCGGACAGGGGCATTATGGCGCCATTGAGCGTGTTTTCGAGCTCGATGACACGCGTGGGACAGGCGTGGACATCGTCAGAGATGACGGCGTATTTCTGGATGTCTTCGAGCGTGAGGTATGTGCCGTTCTTCGCATCGAGTGGTTGGACCATGGCCTGGCTCAAGGTTGCTACACCTCCTGCCTCGTAGTTGATGATGTGGCCACGTCGGTCGCAGATGATGGCGTGTGGAGGCGTGGTGAGGTGTGCTCGCAGCGCGACCTGGTTGCCCATGGTACCAGACAGCATCAGGAGCGCGTCCTCCTTGCCGCTGAGGTCGGCCACGAAGCGCTCGAGTGATAGTGTGGTGGGATCCTCCATGGTGACATCGTCGAGCAGGGTGCACTCCTGGATTGCCTTGAGCATGGCCCTGGTCGGCGTAGTGTGCACGTCAGAGCGGAAGTCAAAGGCCGCCGGGTTCTTGTCGGCGCCCCATGCGTTGCCGTCGTGGCTTGTGCCATTTGTCAAGCTCTTGCTGCTCTTGGCAATGTAGTGGGAGAGTTCTGACATGGCCGAGTATGCTCGTGAAGTGGGTAGCTGGCGCGGGGCAAGGGAGGCGGTCAAGGGTCGATTACCCGCTTTGAGCGTATTTACTGGACAAAGGTAAGGTCAATCGCACAGTCTGTGGACAGGACCACGTACTGGAGAGGCGAGCGAGCGGATATAAACGCGGTGGCGGCATTGCGGCGGCATGTTGGAGGGAAGGGCGCAAGGCGTGAAGCAAGCCGAAGATAGGCGACGCATCTGCCAACGCGGAAACCCCTCCACTCCGATTCGCCCGACTTTACACCTACAACCATCACAATAGGCAGGCGACAACCTAACCATGACCGTCTTCGCCCGCATTGCAAGCTATTACATGAGCGGAACCGCCAGCAACCAGACCATGGTGCTGTTGAGCTTCCAGCAATCTAGCTATGACAAACCCCTCATCGTCGACGTTGCATAGGAGCATTATTGCGGAAGGCGAAATATTGCTACGGATCAAACACCCCAGGAAAACGGAGCAGACCGGGTTTGAGTGTGAGACTCCAACTGTTGGCACCATGACACTCCTCGCGGAGCCGTATCCTCTTCTTACGGATCCGCAAATGTCAATTCGGCGTCCAAACATTGGTTCCAGTATCACATCGCTTTGTCCGCTCTTCTGCACTCACAGCCGTACCGTACCAAAAACAGAGGAATGCTATGCTTCCAGACTTCGTCCTCAGATACATTCTGGACGTGTTTGCTGTGGTTGCGATCTTCTAGGGCCAATGCAAAACATAGCAGACACCTTTAATTACCAACTGATATCGGCGATACACTCTAGTCATGGCGGACCTTTTCCTTGCTCAGCCATAGCATCGGCTACCAGGAAGCTGGTGCGATCTAGTAGAACGCCATCATGTATCTGAAAGACATAGATGAGGAGGCTGTCAGCTTCACAAGTGCGCTATGCGCACGGTCAAGTAGCCACTGGTCTTGGATACCAAGCTGCACAAGTGCACGTTCATGACTGCTGGGCCACAGCGGGGATGATAAATGTCTGAGCCTCGCCTTCCCATTTAACTACTTTCGTCAACCGCTTTCACCAAACTCTCAAACATTGCGCTAAAGGTATGATAATAGTCATCCGCACTGTCCGTCAAGAAGATCCAATCCGCCGTGTTCTGCACCTGCTGGATCACGAAATCCAGCACTTCTCCAGTCAGATTCGGCAACGAATGCAGTATGACTGCCAATCTCGAACGCCGAATCTTGTGTGCTTGTAGCGGAACCATAACATCTCTGTCAAGCCACTTGTCGAATGTCTCTTCGAATACGACAGTGAGATCGGTGAGGTTGAGGTAGGATTCTTGTAGTACTGTGGGCGAAGTGAGTATAGAAGTGGGCACCAGACCTGGATTGTGAGCTATGAAGCGCTCGCTGAACGCTGTGTTGTTCTTGATTGCTTGGTTTGCTGTCTTCAAATATGCGTAATCGTCCTCGTCGAACATGCTTGGTGTCTCGTCCAAGAAGATTCCATCAACGCGCATCTTGGTGATATTTGCGACTTTGGGCCAGCGCGCGTACGTGTCGATTTCTGCCAAAACACTTTCGATAGGCTTTTCTGCATAATCGGTTGCGACGTATCCCAGTGTTCTGATGTTTGGATAGGCTCGTAGTTTAGGGACCTCATCAAGGTACACTTGGTCAGGGAGTGACCCCATACAGGGGCCAGAGCAAGGGTTGATGATGACGGTGAAGTCTACATCTCTATACGCTTTTGCTCTGAGTTCCAGTTAGTGTGCAATGAAGTCGTAGGGGGAGGTGTGCATACGCTGCGTATAGCGGATCCCATGCACCCGCACTTGGATACACGTAGAGCGGGAGAAGTATAGACATGACAGGATACTGTCTCGAGTGATGGCTATGGAGAAGAAGATAGTTCACTGTTAAGGCTTTGGGGTGGATACGAACTTCTAGATGATAGGATGCATTGCATGGACAATGCATTGGCTCGGCATGTGTGGTACCTGATAGCGGGAAGTGACCCTGTCCGCGGCTGAAGCCACGGTCTCCAAATGAGAAACTATATTGTATGCAGAGAGGGTTGCGCGGCCTGTGTCTGTCAGATTCGTCGACTACTGTGTTCGGTCCAATGGCAGTCGCTTACGGCAGATAGGCTGGGAGAAGTCGATATCCATATTGCAGGCCAGGGTCGACAAATAACCGGGGATATGAAAACGATAGGAAATGTGCCATCGAAAAAAACGAGTCAACGGTATCACCAACTACGTAAAAGCTCTTTATGACGTAAGGATGCAACTCTAAAGCCCAGATTCGTGCATCTTTTGCAATCGTATGCGTTGCAGCGACTGCCTGACAATCACTATCCATTTCAACAACTGATACTGTAACACTATGTTCTCAAAACAGAGGGCAACATGTACTTCTGCTGAACAATATGGACAATATAGGATATCATACTGCGATGCAAGCCATAATGAACCGTCACTCTGACTGCCTCGGAGTTCGAAATATTCAGAACCTGAACAAGTGGCTCTGAGCGCAGCAGCTCACCATAGCTTTCGGGTTCCTGACATACGGTTCGCCAATTCGGTTCGACGGGTGTAGAAGCAGAGCCCAAAAGCTTCAACCATACACGGCCAGTCACAAGATTATGCCTGAAATTGATCGAACAGGCCAAAGGAAAGTTGCGGTTTTGGTAATACAGCCGAACCGTGCCGTAGAATACGGGTGCACCTGGATACCCGTTGTTATCTGAATCGTTGTTTGTACAAAACTCGGGATTGATTGAAAGGTCGCTATGGATTGGATCCCACAACTGCTTTGGCTGTGCACTTCGGATACGGTATACTGCAGAGTCGAACTTGAACTGAAAGCAATGCATCGCACGGCTTCGGAATATCTTTGGAGTCTTTGGAGTGTGTTCGATATAAATTGCCTCGGGCTTGTCGTTATCATTGAGCCGATGACTGAACGGGTTGGCTGCAAGTCTTGTGTAGTGCGATGCACTCAGTCGTCGAATGAGCAGAGCAATTATTCTTCCTTTCTCTATCGCGCCCAGCGGAAGGGCGAAGATTGAATCGGCCCACATCTCGCCAGAGATTTCGTCCAGCAAAGGACAAAGCCGTGCCTCAATTCTGAGGCCCAAATTTGATGTAGCGAATTGACCACGGCCCTGCTCGATACCCTGAGATCCTTCGAAGTCATCGGGCGACATGGCTAACAATCCACAATATCTGGATAGCGACCCATGAGGTGCCCTCCATGCGAAGATTGAGTTGTCAGGAGTCCTTCTCATGATCTCTTCCTGCAACCGTCTAAATGCATTGCCACCCTCACCGTACAACATAGGCATATGAATACCAAACAAGCCCATGAGGCTGTATGCACGGTCTTTTGTTCGAGTCGTTTTGCGAATGGCTGCCCATGACATTTTTTGTGCGACTGAAGCTTGATTCAGGTCACCAGTACGCAAAACAGATAGAGGTATCCCTGTCACTTCGGCAATCGTTGGACAGAACATACTCTTGGAGCCAATGAGTGAGAAATCTTGATCATAGAATGCGAGAGCCTTGGGTGCGATGAGTTCTTGTAAAGTCCAGCCTCTAGTGATCCATCGGGATGTACGTAATATTGTTGCAATATCATAACGGCGGCGCAAAACAGAGTCCGGGTCTCGCACGGAATCTGCATCATCCAGGTGAACCATACAGAAGCAGGATTGCTGATACCATCGATACATTGAGTTGATTGCTTCCTGTAGCTCCGCGCTGCTACTTTTGTCAATACAACAGGTGTCTATCCAGATGTATTTCAGTCACTTCTCTCCTGCGAGCTTGGCGGCCTTTTGTATCTTCCTGTAGCCGGCACGAGCTTGAATAGACTTGCTATTCATCGCGAAGATCTTCAGCCCGGCTGCCGCTTCCAATGCAGCCATCACTGTGGTATCGCTTTTGAGGCTATCGATCAAGGCGTGATGCTGTTGCAAAAAGCGTATCTCTTCATAGGAAATTTCCTCAATCCCCCATGTGTGCGATAGTATAAGATAGCGCGGTATCTCATTATCGTGGAAGACTTCGAATTCAAGAGTCTTGGCATGTAAGAGGCGCATATCAATCGTTCGATTTTCCCAATTCTCAGAACAAGAGTCGTACCACCGAATTGATGAACCTCAGCTTCTAGTCGCGAGCGCTCTCAGTACCTGGAAAGAGAGTATGGTAGCCGGCAACTACTTAACCGTGATGACGTTCTCGCAAGGCTGAAGGGTGGATCGTGTCAGCTTCTGCGCACGAACTTGGGGAAACTTGTGAATATATTGCAAATATGGCTGTAGATATGAGCCGTAGCGACTTACTAGGGTGCGGGAAGTTTAATTTTCGCTGAAAATCTCGTCAAATGTAGAAAGCGAGACTGCTGAGTAAGATGGAAGTGAGTGAGCTGCGATAGCCGCCTGAGGTTGTGGCTATGTGCATGGTCGGCTCAGATACCCTTGCATTCCTCAGCTCGTACATATTTTACCGCAGTACCTGCAGCATACATAGCGGGACGGCTCTTACACTCTCGTCCTCAGCCAATCGACACCTAGCAACGTTGTCGACAAGCTCGATCCCGAAGTCAAAAATGGCGATACCTTATGTACCATTATTTTGATAGTCATTACCGATCGAGCGTAGATACTTGGATACGAAACGTCTTTCTCAGAGAACTGTTAGTACACAGGTGTCATTACCCACATCATGAGTGTTGCGATTGGGGCGTGCAGCTCACGACCTTGGGAAGCTTCACTCTGCGCTAAGAAATTAGTGCGGCCGCCCACGCAGTTGACCCGCCTGGCCGCATGAAAGGGATAGATGTTTCCCAGATTGTAGCGATGCCGAATATGGCTCATGTCACAAACATTCAGTATCTAATACACAACAAATTGTAGAGGTATGAGTGCCCGCGCACAGCCCTTTTACAAGAAGCAACTACCACTGTTTCATCGATGTTCTAATACACGTTATGAGTATGTTTGCATTCGAAGGAGAGGCTTCATTTGGCAAAATCGGAATGACTTTATTGACCGGATCGACTTTGAATCACGAGAAAAATCAAGCGTAAAGAGGCATTGGGACACATAGCTGGAGCAGGAAGTGTTCAAGACCGTACGTGATGTGAAGAAGGACGAGGAGTATATGGTGGGTTACTCTAGTTTCGAAGAGAACTTGAATACGTACGGCATTAGATGTAAATGGCGACCTCTACAAGACTTAGTCATCTGCACTTGTGCTAATGGCTGCACAACACTAGTATCGATGCCTCATCTTCGAGAGAGCAGTTACAACGTGTGAACGAAACTTTGTATCTGGATGTGGTCGGCGCAATTAGGATTTTGTTTAGATGTTCTATCTAGAAACTCGAAATACTGGTACTGCTACTTGGATTCTTTTGTTTCTTTGGTCCAAATTGATCCAGCTCCATCTGAACAAGTGACTGTTCATCACTATCTGCATGCCGTATCTCGAAAGTTTTAGTGTATGTGATGGCGTTCGGATCCCGTCCGCCGTTTGAGACAGCCGATCTCCCTGGACCGCTGGCCAGCGCACTGCCTCCCTTCCTCATTCCATGACTTTGGCTGCCGTATGCGTAGTAAGGCCGGTCGGTGGCCTTGGTTGTACCAAGGACCTTGGGGAACAAGTGGACAAGAATGACGCGTAGTGCAGGCAAGCAGGCGCAGATGATTCCGATATTGATTTCGATGTTTGACCAGTTGATCACATCCGCTTGATCCCATGTTGGATTTGCGGAAGCGGCAAAGTTGACAAGAGACCGTAGACGGAGTATCGATATGACGGTTACACTGAGCCTCAAGTTAGCCATTGTCCTCTAGTGATAGTTCTTAAGGTGACTCACAATGTGCCAACACAAAACATAACAGCAACGCTAAGCTTCTTGCGCCAGGACAGCTGCAGGTTGAAAACCTCGAACAAGGGTAAAGCGAGCATCCAAATATCTAGGACAATACTGATGATGGCGTTTGTCCACGCTAATCCGTTGATATCGATGCATTGGCCTGATCCCTCCTTGTCCCAATTCGTCCAGTAAAAGGATATCGGTCGACATTGAAAGATGGCGGCGAACGTGAATGCAACGCCGTTGAGACAGTTGAATGCAACAGTAGCCCAGAGGAGTCGCCTGATCATCGGCTTTGGAAAGATCCGGAGAAAGAAGAAAAGAAGCGTGAGCTTCAGAAGCGCAATCTGGATGAAGTACAAGACTTCCAGGGCGTAAAGATACCGGACGAAGTTGGTAATTTGTTCGAAGCTGACTGTCCAAACGTCTCTTCCAAGACCGTTTGGAACGATGGCTCTATCGATGATAACGACAGATGGTACACCGGCTATCAGTGCGGCTAAGACGCTGTAATCGTCGTAACCGAGCTCTCCAATGGAGAACACGGCCTTGTATATAATCCTGGAGAGCGCGCAGACAGCGGTGACGATCGAGAGAATCAAGTTTGATACGCGAATGGACTCGCCAGAATAACGTATGGGGGCGTGGCAGCTTGTTGAAGTGACATTCTTGGTCGCTAAGAAAGGCAATTAGCAACATTCGATACAGCATTGGGAAGTGAGGCACTCACTCAAACTCTGTCTCAGTGTACACGCTTGCAAAACGCACGCTTCTACCTCGCCTTGCAATTTAGCATCTGCACATATTGAGGCTAGGTCTGTGTGCTGAACAGGCGATTGGGTGACTGCTGTGGCAAGACACACTTGCTGAAAACGCAATCAGTACATGTTATGAGCATCGCTCGGATCGAACATACCGCGCATTGGGGAAGTTGCTTGGCCACAGCCAGCATAGCCGATTCCTGAGCAACTACTAGCTGCACCCATGCCAGCAATGGGAGCAACAATTCCAGGAGCCTCATCCTTCTTCGTACTCATACACGAAATCGTGTACGATCGAACGGCCAGGAAGTGAGAGGCGGAAACGAAGAGAAATTGGTAATCCGGGACAGACCCTTACTATAAACTCCCTGGAATGTCGGAGAATATCAAGAGCTGTCAGAAGTGCTAGGCCAGGTCGTTTAGTCTCCCGAGGCCTGTTCTATATGAGACTCCATAACGGAAAGTAATGAATGCAGGTACATTTAACCATTGGGTATGGCGGACGGCAACTGCAGATTGAGGTATGGAGTGGGGCTGAACCGCCTCTTCTGGGGCCGCTATTCGAGGGTCATGCATCTTCCGTACCAGAGGTGCAATCCTCGCCGTAGAGATGATCCCTGGCATGTGCACGGAAAGTCTGGCACTAGATTCCATGATGACTGAACGCGACCAATGACCCAGCTGAAACTTAGGGCGAATGGAGAAGTTGCCCCAGACCACTTGAAGTGGGCCTTTGCTGACGCTTCGCATGGCAGACGCTACCAGCGACGGAGGGCATACTTTTCAGGAACAGCGGATTCATAACGCTAAGTGGACTTCGCCTAATATGCAGGAGGGTGATGAGGCCTCCAGAAAGGAGACACGTTCTTCGCAAGATGCCATCGTGATCAGCACTGATCTAATTGACTGGTTAGCACAGAACATCAAAATATAAGCAACTCGCTCGAACACTGTGCTTTGACTGTCATTTTGCTATAGCATTGTTGAGTTTGTATAGATGAAGGCATTCGAGGCCCCGGAAGGCCGACCGAAGATGGTGGTTCGTTCCGAACGCCACAGGCGAGCGATTTTGTGCATAGGTAAACGACTTGGCGTACGCCACTAGCAGCACACCTGCTTGCCGTTTGCTCCACCTCGCGTATACCCAACCGTCGCCGAGCTTCGACCGCCGCTGTCTTCGCGGCTCGAAAAGCCACATGGGGCTCGTTTGCTTTTTGAAGATCATGTTCACTGACTCTCACAACGTTGGGGATCGACTTGTGGAGCCTGATGCAGCTTTTGAGATACGCGAGGCAAGAATACAATCATTTTATTTAGCTAACAACACATACTTTCATGTATTATCACAACGGCGTACAAACGTGCCGCTGTTCATCACATGTCATTTGAGCACTGGCCTAATTGTCGCTAACAGGCAAGACCGCGGAATTCAGGAGCTAAACAGCTTAGAAACAGCCAAATCTTCGACTAACATCCCATACCACCATACCACCATGCCGTAGGGATGTGTGGAACGCGTGCCCTAGCACACGGTCCGTGGTAACTTTGAAAATTCAGCCGCTTGTTGAGCACCTCGAGCAACTTCTCGGTACGATTGCAATCTCGCCATTCTCAAGCTAAGCAGCCCTCTCATTGTGTTGAGCACCCGGAAAAATTGAAACGGCCTAGGAGCCATGCCTCCGACACTATCAAGCCACTTTCGAAGCATTCTGTAGGTCATCATCATAGATTGGTATGAGAACTTCTGTCCACTTGTGTATTCCAATGACATCGCTACGGATTAGGTTGTTGAATTTCATCGATGTTCCCTGACACGGATACAAAACACATCCCGGCTGATACCTCAGCCCTACAAGGTATACCTGATGCACAATCGAAACAGACCCATGCGACGGGTTGAAACTCCGCCGCTATGAGCGTCCACCTTCCCCTTTCTCGCCTGCTCGAAATCGTCAGTATTCGAGTCGATGTCAGTGGGGCATTCTGGTGATGGCGTGAGTTGTGACTCAAAGTCTTTCCCTCGATTCAAGCACAACATGCATGAGCATCCCCCAGGATCACGATACTCCGCGAACGGGATGCGACGCGCTTCAGGCTTCGAAAGTTTCCTGTCGGCCCGACGTCGTAATCCCCGGATCGCAAGTGCGAGACCCCGCGACTTTTTGCTTTTCCATTCTAGGCGCCATGGCGCAAATCGTCGGAAGGCGTAGACGCAAGCATCCTGACCGCACATCCAAAGGTGTTTCCATGATCCAGCGCAGTGGTACCCTTGAGCTTGACTAACGTGTTAGCAGATGGCATCCTCCGACAATTTGTCGTCGTCACCTCAAGCGACCCGACGATCTTAACGGCCACAAGAAATCTTCGAGTGCCGCTGATTCAGGTGCAAAACCTTGGAGATACCACAGTCTACGACCTCGTGGCAATCTGATATCGAGTATGTCATAGATAGGTCTCCACTCCACCTAGCCACACGTCAGCTTCGACTGCTACGTTCGGGCCGCACCCTTTGTAACCCGCGAAAGTTTCGGGAACCAAACTTTGAGTGTGACCAGACTCACGCGTGACGATATGCGGCCAACGCAGGCATCGGCAACTGTTTCTACGCGAGCACATGACAACTCACTCGCGTGGCCTTCGTTAAACATCCTCGGATCTACACGGGTCGATCTTTGGGTAGCGCGTACCAAACGGTCAGCCACCGGCATCACGCATCGGCATCTGCCAGGGACTGACGATCACAACGTGGGATTGACGAAAGCGACCAATATTCTCGGCCAGCTAGCCAAAGTCGTTTCTATATGCAAGCTCGATATCGACCACGTTGCAAGGAAGCTAACATTGATACTTCCTGATCTGGAGCCACTAATTGACTTGCTATCTGCTTTTGTCATTGCTACTCTCCTGGGCCACCTTGTTCAAGAGTCCATGTCTATATGCAACCGTATTTGGGAAACAGAACCTCAAAAGTCAGCGGCCTTTACACCATATGCGTACTCACTCCTACCACCGGAAAAAAAGGAGGCTTGCAATCAACTCCGTAGACGATGCTGATACCACTACTGTTAACCTCTTCTGTAGTCATACCCGTCTCCAGTTCTGATTCCATTCGCCCTGGCGACAATTATCTCTAGATGCTTCACGATTCGGATCAACATATCCAACCTTTGTGCATGATCAGCAAGGCTCAAGCATTATCATTCCAAGCATACACGAAAGGCATGTGCCGAGAGCCTCTTCCTCTGTTTTGGCCATGATGAATACTAGATTCGGCCGTTTTCTATCCGCTTCTTGCGGTTTAAACTTTTCTTTGAATTCAAGATATCATTTGGTGACGGATTATGTCTCAAAGGAGACTGTAAGTAGGTTTGTGATCCACATGCTTTACGAGATCGAGCCGCGAGTATGAGCCGCATGTGCATACGCGACTATGTCCGCAGATCCCCAAAGCTAAACCCTCAAAAGGCTTCGAAGCCGTTTCATGCAGGTTGCCGCTGTAACTTTCAGCCTGTCACATGGAATCTCCATTGTGACGCATGTCCCTCGTGACTGTACCGCAGCGTGATCATGTCGATCACACGCACTGACTCCAGCTACACCCTCGGCTTTTGTTCAAGCTTCTCTGATGTGAGTTCGATCTTCTCTCGCACTCATGCTATCTAGCCCAGAATCCCAAAAAAAAACTGTGCCATAGAGTTCAAGTTTTGTGATGAAATTTCCGTGCTGCAATTCCATACTCGAGTTGGCTCTTGCGCCGCTATTCGAGTTATGTAAGTTTCTAGCAATACATAGCGTTTTGCCTTTTACATTTTGAAGCGCCTACGTCGATCGATTAAAGCGTGGCTATAGAGCCGCCATGCTATGCTACGACCTACTAAGCGTCTACCGGTCTGCCAATAGGTTTAGGCCATTATCAGATAATTACATTGCTACATGCTTCTTTAAATATTTTGCTACATAAAAAAAATCCACAAATATCTTTATAGAACAGAGTACTCCTACTTACTATAACAAAGTAGATTAAGAGCTATAAAAACGTGAATAGAGAATCTAGAAGTCTACATTACTATTAACCTTTATAAGTTTTCTTGTTAAGAGCTAATGTAAGCTGTAAGGTAAAACTTATTATCTCTATACCTATTTAATCTTCCTCTTGTATAGAGTGCTTTACAGTTCGCTCTCCTAATCAGAAACAGCGACACCAAATAGCACTGCTCTTTACACTTTTCAAGAGCTTATGCTAGAGTTTGATTAGAGCTTGAGTAAGACAGCCAACGCCATAAAGTCATAATTAATTCCAGGAATTCCTTTCGGTGTTCGTATGGGATGCGAGAGCATAGCATACAACCCACTTCACGGTTGCTAAGAAGGTGCATGCTTGTTTAATTTCCTGTAGGCAGTCTTTTTGATATCCACAACCATCTCTCCATCGCCCCTTTTCTGTGCTTCGTGTACTAAAAGGCGAGTTCAAATTATGCATGACTTTCCGTCTTTCTCCAGGGAAATATTGGGGCTGCCTAGTTTTGCTGAGAGCAACTTTCCCAGATTGTAAGTCCTTCGTCTTCTTGTTCTCTCCACATCACTTGACCGCGTCTTCTACACCATGAAGCAGAGGCTCCACCGTCATGCTTCTGCTGACCCAAAAGAGATGAGGTTCGAGTTGCAGAACGAGTTCACCACTAGAGGTGAAGTGGGTTGATTCTTGCAATCGCAACGGTGTGTTGATAAGCACTAATCACGAAAGACAGAACATTCGGAGATGAACGGAACAACAGAAATGCATCGGAATGTCATTGATTTGCTCATCGCAGATATCAAAAGGTATCATCTCCATCATTCCCTAATCCCTAAGTCCTCAGTCCGCTCTCAAAGGGTCGAAAGTGTGAACCTGTACCCGAGCCTGAACCTGAACCTAAACCAAACAGAATGTATAATCTCCATGGGAGGTAAACATGAAAGCGGAGATGACTTCCCGCGGCAACGCCAAGGCATTATACCTCCCGTCATATCATGCTCATGTTACCTTGCCAGCCCGCTGTGGATGCAAAACCAAGTCTAACGCAACAAACGCCGCCCAATGGTACTGGAATGAAGACATAATAGATAATAAAACAAATATCGAGAACAATAGTCAGCGTGCCTTGAACGGATTACCGTCCAAACAAGCCGTTGCCAACACTGACAGTACCGAGGCCACTGCGTTGTGTCAATGATGCACGCGCTGCATCTGGTCGGCCAGCACCTGGTAGACCTGGCGCAACGTTGGGCTCTGCATTGATAGGCCGCATGCTGCTACCCCAACGTTGTCCACTTTGTTCTTGCGGTATATCCATGTGCTGCGCTGCAGGACTTGACATCATACCATATGTTTCTCTACTCAGAACACCCATATTGTTGCGAGGGTCGGAGCCAGGTGTCTCTGCATAGGCTGCATGATCGATCGGTGCGCGCTTCATGTGTAGGACTGGTGATTCTGCTTCCCCTAGTAGACCGTTTGCGTTGTGAGCGTTCGAGGAAGGGGGGTTCGAGTTCGCTTCGATGGTGGAGGCAGAGCCATTGGGAGCTGAGAGATCGACCATGCGACGCTGACCGGCTGGTGTTTGGTAGCTGGGTACGCGGGACGGTCCTGGAGGGTACCGGCTTTCTTGGTGCGAAGGATGTCGTGGATTGGCCCATGGCGTACTTTCTAAGAATTGCTCTTCTGCAGCTGCCTCGTCTGCTGTTGTCGTTCTATTATAGGTACGAAACGAGGGAGGCGGTGCTGGAGCACGCGTTGCAATCTACCGCGCTGAATCAGCTGCTAGTTCTCTAGCAGTTGCGTTCAGCCACTTACCTTCATTGCTCGAAGATCTTCGTCAATCTCTGTTGGCCGCGCAGCACTGATGTCTGGTGCTGCTGGGAACCCTACGTACTTGGCGACACCCGACAGGACAGAGACCTCCAAATTGTACGCTGTTTGGTGCCTGATCTGGTCAGACCGCTTCTCAGGTAGTCGTACCATGTATTCAGTCTCGTCGCAACCAAGCTGGCGTCGTCCGCGTTGCAGTTCGAATACTCGCTGGTTGCACTCCTCGAGAATCTCCTCGCGAATATGTCGCACAGTCTGGAAGTATTGACTGTGCATTTGGTGCCGCTCTGCTGCTGTGATTATCTCAAGATTCTTCTGCTTGTATTCCAGTAGCCTCGTCTCGTACGCGATCTTGTCGGCGCGTCGATCGTCTATGCACTTGATCATGGCAACATACTCGGGGTGAACGCAATTCGGCTGCTTGAGCATTTCTAGCTCCCTTTCGAGTTGCGCTATCTGCTCGTCGCATAACCTGATGGCAATTAGCAGCTGATATCAGTAACTGGATTCAAGGCACGTCACTTACTTCTCTCGGAAAAGCTTGAACTTCTTCTCGATCTTTGCAAGTTCATCGATAGCCTGCTTTTTCTTGGTCACCTCCTCGTCAAGCACCGCGCTATCCTCGTCGTCATGCTCGCCCTCAGCTTCAGCCTCGTGTGCTTCAGCAGCTGCGAACGTCTCGGCGTAGGCATAGCTAGGATCCTCCATCTTCCTTTTCCCCCTCCTGCCGCCTTTCCTTGGTTTAGTGTGTTTCGCGACGGTGGCCATCTCACTGACAGTCTGTGCTGCGATATTGGCTTGTCGCTCTTCGAGTTCTAGTTCTTCTCGTGCGAGGGCCGATAGGTTCTCTTCAGCGTTCTCAAGCTCTTCGTCTGCGTCCATCTGGCCCTGTCGGTCCGCTGCAGCATCAGCCAGACCATCAAGCGCCGAGCCCTTCGCGTTTATGCTTCGCTTCCGTGATGGCTCCTCTTCACGCTCATCCACAGGACTTCTCTCAGCACTGGCACGCTTCCTTTTCATACCGACATGCTCGAGATTCGCCGCCTCGGATGCTGCGATGAGCGAGAGAGAATGCAGAGGGTTCTCGGTTGTGGGTGCTTCGCCCATGGTTGCGTCGTCTGTAATGGCAGTGGGTGTGGGTGGAGCAGAATCATCGTGCTCGATGGTTTTGGAATGCGCGAGCTTGCTTGGAGTTCTTGTGTAGATGGGCTCGGAGAGTAATGACGTCTCTGTAGCAGTGCGCGCGAGCTTTCGAGGCGTGTTGTGCAGTCGCTCAGTCTCAGCCTCTGAATCATCTTCGTCCATGTCTGCTACTGCGCTCGGCCGTTGTGTGGGTTCTGACTGGTCGTCTGATGCGTCTCCGAGCTCGCTCAAGCTGCTAGAGCCGTTGTCGGCGATGTCATCGAAGCCATTAGGGGCTTGTTCGGTGGGCAGCGATTCTGTGAGCACTGTAGTCGGAGCTGCCATGGTAGACAGCATCGCGGCAGCGACTGCAGAAGGATCTTCGGCAGCTGCTGTTGGCACCTGGGCTGGCGCAGGGTGGTCGGGAGGAGAGGTTGCAGAGGCGGGGTCAGGTAATTCTATCGTGGGCGTTGGAATTGCACCTGTGGAGGGGCTGTTAGATCTGGTGCATATTCGGACGACGTACGTAAGAGGCGTGGTGAGGGAGGTGAGTTCGCGACGCCGTCGTCGCCTCGGTTGTTGACGCAAAGATCGACGGTCTCTGGAGAGGCGACCAAGGGCGCAACGCTGGGCTTGAGAAAGGCGAAAGAGAGCATCGGGATTGCTACGGAGTAGATGGGAACGTACTTTGAGTCTGCGCGACTTCCTCAGCGGTGCCGGGAGCTGTTCTCGAGGTGCTCCGTCTGGTCTGTTCGGGCGCGCTCATAGTGCGCCCACGCCGAAGATTGCCTCAACTCGTGACCAATGTCCCGAAAACGAGTTGCAAAGAATACTGTAGGCGCCTGCGATGCTCTATGGGCGTTGTGGGAGGTGGAGGGCGCTGGATCCGGTGAGTGGTCAAAAACGGTGCTCCTGGGGTCAAGGACGCGGGCGTCGAGGGTGCGTGTGGAGATGTCTGTGGCAGGAGCGACTGGGTGGCAGGTCTGGGATGTTTGTTTACGTCGGGAAGCAAACGCGGGACAGCGACTCTCATGAGGGAGTCTGTAGTGAACGTGGAGGGCAGCTTGGTCGGGATGGTCTAAACTGCGCTCAGAAGCGGGTCGACTGCCCGGGAGAGGCCCTGAGAGTCTTGCGAATGACCGCACTGCCCTATCTCGTTTGGGTCTAGTGCCCAGTGCCTGTGAGTCTCCACCAAAACTTTTTGACGAGCTTGCTGCCGGCAACATCTCGATTGTCGCAATGGCTAAATCAAACGACAAACGCGCTGTGAAGACAGACAAGAAGACAGATACGCCCAAGAAGAGCCACAAGTCGGGCACTTCATTCATCAAAGTTGACAAGAAAGCGTTTGACCCTGCGCTAGCATCGCTGTTTGCGACCAGTGTACGTCTATCGCATACACGTGCTGAAGAGTGATTGCTAATTCATGTACAGGCGGGTCCTGTACAAGCGCCCCCAAAATCACGCTACCAGGCGCGCGCCCAAGAGAAAGCGACCGAGGACTCGAGTGAAGATGAAGACGAAGGCGATGCGAACGATGCGGAACTGAGCTCGGCATCTGAAAGCTTGCCCTCCGATGATGACGACGACGAGGATGGAGACGAAGATGAGGACATGTCGGATGTTAGCGAAGGGTCAGAGTCCAAGGACGAGGCAGCGCTTGCAAAACTGCGTGAAGCTGCACTGCACGGCGCAGTAGAAAAGCCTAAAAAGCGCAAGCGAGGTGACAAGGAGGAAGTCGAGGATGCCTACATGCGAAAATTGGCACGAGAGGAAGAGAAGGAGGAGGAGCAAAGACAAAAAAAGCGCAAGACAGAAGAAGAGGACGAGGATGAGGGCGATGAGGATGATGAATCTTCAGACGACAACGATGAAGGCGAATCTTCAGGAGAAGAAGACGACGACGAGGATGCGGAAGATGTCAATGATGCCGACAAGGCTGAAGACCTTACAATCCCCAAGCACGAGTCGCTCATGGAGAAGACCGACGAGAGCGCTTCGGAAGTGGAGAAGGCATCGCGCACCGTCTTCCTAGGCAATGTCTCTGTCGAGTGTATAAACTCAAAGCCCGCCGAAAAGGCCCTCAAGAAGCACCTAGAGTCCTTCATCCCTGATCTCGCCGACAACAAGCCCCCGCATAAGATCGAGTCGATACGTTACCGCTCGACAGCATTCGGTACCTCGCTACCCAAACGCGCTGCCTTTGCAACCAAGGACATCATGGATGCGACTACAAAGAGCACGAATGCATACGCTGTGTACGCAACCAAGGTCGCGGCGAGGGAGGCTGTCAAGAGGCTAAACGGCTCCATGCTCCTCAAGCGCCACCTCCACGTCGACTCATTGGCCCATCCATACAAAGTCGACCACCGCCGTTGCGTCTTCGTTGGCAACCTTCCTTTTGTAGACGATGAATCCCAAACGCCCGTGGCCGAAGGCGAGAAGCCCAAGAAGAAGAGGCCTGCCTCTGACGTTGAAGAAGGCCTCTGGACGCACTTTGCCAAATGCGGGAAGATCGAGAGTGTGCGCGTAGTCCGCGATGCAAAGACGAGAGTCGGTAAGGGATTCGCCTACGTACAGTTCGTGGACGAGAATGGCGTGGAAGCCGCACTGCAACTTAACGAAAAAATGTTCCCACCTATGCTTCCCCGCAAACTCCGTGTTACACGCTGCAAAGCAGAGAAGAAGAACAAGGACAAGCCGAGAGGACCGCCACCATCCAAGACAGAGGGTGCATCAAAGGGCAGGCCAGGTGCTGGCTACAAGCAAAAGCTTACTGAAGAGCAGAAGTCACAACAGGGACGTGCAAGATCGATGTTGGGCAAGGTCGCCAAGGCACAGACGAAGGAGGGTTTCGTGTTTGAAGGTCACAGAGCGAGCGAGAGACAGGGTAAGAGTGGGCTCAAGTTCAAGGGCAGTGGAGGCAAGAAGAAGGGTCCTAATGGACGGAAGAGCAGAAGTGCAGGCTGGAAGAAGACTGGCGGCAAGAAACAGTGATAGTCAGCGAATTCAACCTGCAAACACGGAAGCTGTAGGATATATACAGCTGTCGCGGGGCTCAATCGATACATTACGTGCGCATTTCTACAAAAGAGCTTGCAGTCAGCAAAAACACATTGCGGTGAAACCTCACGACCAAGGCTCTCGGCTTTGCTGTCCTTCCACTACACTTTCTTAACGTAAGCACTAAGAACACAAAACATTTCCAAGATGGGCTCACCCGAGCTGTCAGTACCTGATGCTACACAACCATCATGTTTCAACAAGACATACCAAGATCCTCAAAAAGAAAAAGGCTCTTGGCCCCCGCAAGTTATCGCAGTCTTATCTCAAGGCTAGAAATGGGTTGTTGAAGACAACCAAGTTGACATACACGGCTACTCCCCTATTAGAAGATGGGACATCAGACTTACTCACGTCACCCGTGCACTTGATAGCGGGTGAACACACTGTCTTGGTTGCGATTCTAAAATCAACTCACTTCACCTCTATTCGCGAGCTCGCCTTCACCCACGGTAGGCGTTTGCCTTCACGACAAATCTGTAAAGGACAAGAGCGGTATGGTTGCTTGATAGTTGGGTACTAGTGCTCTCCATGACACGACGCATGTAGTTCAGTACGACTATCCGTAGTCTACGTGGAAGGTCGGCTATAGGAATTGGATATGTGATAGTATGCACGCCTCAAGATACAAAGAGCTTTGGTACCCTTCCGCTCTTGAACCACTTGTAGAATTTCATGAGACTCATGTTGATTGAGGTGGATTGTTTAGGTGATAAATGTTTCTAAGATCTCTACAAAAGTGGTTTCCTCTTTTAGCTAGCCGTTAACCTTCTGTGATGAAACAGGATCGTGTTGAACTCAGGACTGGGTGTCGGTCCATTGCATATGCTGTCCTTGTCCATTTCCTCTATCTGTTGTATATTCTGGGGCATATGAGACCGCGTGTCTGACATCCTGCAACCTGATGCGTGAGTGACTCGCAGCTCGGACGCAGGCCGTGGACGTGCACCACTTGATGCTTCTTCTTTCTTGCCTGTCTTTTCTTCACCTTGGAAGTCGTCTTCTAATAGCCCGATCGGCCCGCTTGACTAATTGTCGTCAAGGATTACCGGAGATCTTACCAGTGAATAAAGCATGACACATGGACTGTAATAACACCGTCACTACCTCAAAGAGAAACTGAACATCTCTTTAGAGCAAAGTACTTATACCTACTATAACAAAGCGTGTTAAGACCTTTCTAGATATAGATAGAGAACTTAGAAGTCTGCAATGCTATTAATCTATCTAGAATTTCTTCTTAGAAGCTAACGTAGGCGGTAAACTAGGGCGTGTTATTCCTATACACGTTTGAGTTTTCTATTGTATACGGTGCCGGTGACATATTTCTCTAGTCGCTTGCTCCGGTTCCGCTTCTACGGTGGATATTGCTGATGGTGCCATTTTTTTGGTAGAACTGGTAGGATTAAGGTACTGAAATTGAAAACTGTGATACCTTGTTGAGCATTAGACATCATGTCCAGTGGTGTTTCATAAGCGCCGCTCAGAGCGTCTGTCTTACAGGCTGGTAAGCCGCAGTTGAAGACCATGACTGGTGCGGTGCGGTACAGTGGGCGCAATGCTGAACGTCTGGGGGATCTGCGGAGGCGCGAACTCTAATCGCACATCAAATACTGTAAGAGCCGCAATGTGCAGTAAGATCAAGATGAAACGAGCACGGTGGTGCACGCGACAAGTGCTTCACCGATGTTCCCTTGTCAACTGGAGCAACGGTTTCATCCGGGATGTGCTGAACACGACCATTATCCCGATCCGAGGTGGAGAGCAACACTGACGGCTGCGGGTGGCGGGTCAGCATTTGCTCAAGCCGAACAGCGTTTCAACAGAAGCCCAATACAATCACCCACGCATTCATTATCGAGGTAAAGGTTCAGAAGTCGACCGCAATGAAAGTGAGATTAGTGGAAGAAGTGTGGCACAGAAGCAGCTGATGATTCAAATGTCAACTTCCTGTAGGATTCTCGCGTGCTGCACGGCATTGAGCTGATGGTCGCCCAAGGATGAACGCGTGGGTTGTGTGTGTGTGGAGGGGGCCATGCACACCAGCGGAAGATGTAACCTGATTAGATTAACGCGATGAGCAATCGAAACTGATACGCTGCGGTACAAGGCTGGTGGCAGATACACAGCCGAGCTGCGTCGGCACCGTTCTGGTACTTGGGTTCGCGTGTCGCGCGAATGGTGCAATGGCGGAAGTGAGGCATTTGATTGACTGCTGTGGAACCCGTATAGATGGAGGTGCAGTATCAAGAACGGAGTCCATAACGGGTGCCAGAGCGTCCGACAGTGCCAGAACTCCTGACATTATGCCGGCAAAGGTAGGGTTGGGTTCAAGGCAGCGCGAAGCGAGCTTCTGGCCAAGGAATTGTTCCCCTTGCATTTCATGTGGTGGTTGCTTTCGAGATAACATCCATCTTCAGCCGCCGGACGAAAAGCACATGTTAGAGTAAATGGGCCGAAGTATCAACAAAATTGTGTGACTTGCGAGCGGCCGAACCGTTGCCTTGGGTCCGAGGAGGATGACGCAGCGTGGTGTGTGGCGGGAAATGTCAGTGGCTGGTCTTGAGGCCTACCGATCTTGAGACAAGGACAGTACGCGTCTCGGCTTGACGAGTCGAGATTCAAAGTAGAACAGGAGCCTTTCTTTTGTTTTGTGCGGCATGAGCACACTCTTTTCTCCATGCAAAGCAGGGTCAACGTGACGATCGCAAGCTTGGACGCTGAAGCGGCTCGGGTTGGGGGGTCAGACTTTGCCCACCTGCATTCGCGTTCTGTTGTGCTTACTATACAGCCAACGTGACGGCGGTGCATACTGCGTACATTCATATCAGGATGTGCAAGGAAGGGATGGAATAGTATCATTCATATCATTCCCCGTATTGTCACATGGCATGGAGCTCTCTAATTGATGTTGAATGCTTTCTTGAGACGTGGGCGAGACGGAAGCTGGGCCAATAGACGTAAGAGACAGCAGTGGCGGCTTCTAGTCGAGCGCGAAGCAGCGCGTCGCCTGAGGCATGCGTGGCGGCTGAAGGGCGTCGGGCTCTCCACGGAAGGGTGTGTGTTCACAACTCCGCGGTGCTCTGTCAGATGCGCAAGCACACTGCTTGCCGGTGAAGCAAGCGTCACATATTGCAACAGTGAGCAACGAGGCTGTTGTTTCTCGTCCCCTTATGTCAAGGCGTGATCAAATAGATGGATGGGTCTTGCCAGGGCAGAGCCAGCTCAGAGTTTGGCGCCCGCCCGTACCGGCGTACTATGGTACCCAACCTGCAACGGATCTGCCGTCTGGGGGCGGAGCAATTTCCAAGGACGCGCCAATCGAAAAGCTGGTACCAGCATAATGCCCTGTCTTCCAGATCATGTGTGCACTGTGATTTGCCTGAAGCTGAAATTCAATTTCGAAGTGGAAGAAGAATTACACAGAGTTGTGAAAAACATGAGCGATTTGGCGCTGGGCTGAAGCTGGAAGCACGTGTGTACTCTACCCACGTCATCGGTTGAGCCTCGGGACGTCGGGGTTTTGCGCCAACCCCGCTTCACTCGTTAGCTTCCCGAGAACAACTTCAATCACCCAAGACCAAGATGCATTCTTATAGATGGAAGCACATGGGAACAGTGATGCGTGCTGTCTGCCTCTGTTGCACATGGCCAACTGTCCCGTTGAGGACGAGAATCCAGTGTGGCTGTCTTGCCCACAAGTATGGGGCCACAATCCCTGCGAGCCGCTAGTGAGCTTAGCGTGTCGGCGGGTCATCGAATTATAGGCGTCGCCGACCGCTCCTTCCTGAACTCTTTCGCGCCTTCCAATCATCTGGTCCTCCTCCCCAGAGCATTTTAGCACGATCATTCTACGCATCTTCAACGCGTCCGGGGCTCCAGCAAGCACAACTATACAACAAGACATATAAGAAATACACAAAACTCTCTCTCTCTCTCTCTCTCTCTCTACCCTGCGCTTGCGCTCAAAAGGTTCCGTCCTGCATCAGTTGGCTCGCGTCTGGTCGTCAAGTCAAGAAGATCGGCCTGTAACCTCGACTCGCAAATCTCCCCAACCACAGACCGTGGAGCAATAGATCACGGGATCGCATTTTGCTGCAGACCACAACACCCATTGGTAAGTCAACCCCATCCTCGCGCCCTGATCTGCACACGCGTGCTCGTTGCGCCTATCGTCGCGATGTTCGTTTTGCTTGTACGCCAGCGGATCTAAATCGCACTCGCTTCCACTTCATCATGGAGACATCTTGAAGGAAGGCGCATCCATTCAGACACGGCCATTGTCGTCGCAGCGCCATACCACGTCCCTTCGACATGACGCGCTGTTGCCTCTCCGGTTTTTCTTTACGAGCAGACCGCATGCTCTGACACTACGCGTGCGCTTCACATGTTCAAGGGCTGACGTCGCATTAGTTCCGCAACACACAGCCCACCAAGCCTCTTTGTATCGCGCTCTCTGCCCGCTACTTGGACCACGCTGCTGTCACCTGCGCAACGACAATATACATTTGTCCGCTCGCTGGTCGCCCTAGGCTTCAAAGCCGAAAGGTATCTAAGCCTACCTGTCATCTCGACGGCGCAGCAACCGACAATACGCGCTGCTACTGATCAAGGTAAGTGTCCACCGTCATGCATATGCACGTTGCACCCTTGACTGCCAATGTGCCAGCGCATCGCCCGCCCAGCCAGCACATGCCAACTTCGACATCATTAGCTGACAGTACTCCTAACTGTGTAGACAGTCCTCATCTTCATTTCTAACTGGTGAATACCCGCAACGACTATTCCCCACTACGGCGCGGCCCTCTAGAGTGCAGTTTCACCCTCGACAAAACGCTTTACCACTTGTAAACGCGCACTGCCCTCTCGGCGCCCAATCGCAATCTTCGCGCCTCCAAACTCAAGGCTCCAGCCGTGCGCTCTAGCGAAGTCGCCTCAACTAAGCGTGGCCACTGACAACACATCGAGAGCTGACCCTGCCCTGAACGCGACCCAGCCTACCTGCGCTACGCGCCTACTGTAATCCTCCCACTATCTCGTCTCTAACCACCAAACAAGCCAACGTTGGAGACATCTTCACCATGACCGACTACGCCCAATTTTCGCAATCCCATCATGGGCCAGCACCCACCCAGCAGCAGATGCAACAGTTCGGTCAACAATCCTCTCCAATCCTCCCCTCTCAGGGTTACAACCATGGCGGTGCGCCACACCCTCAACACCACCAGCAAATGGGGTTTCCGCAACAGCAAGCGTACATGGCCGCTGGCATGCAGAACCCTTACATGGCATCTCAACAGGCACAGCACCAGCAGGCTGCAGCGTTAGCCACGGCCGCTGCTGCTGGTCCGGCTGGATACTATGACCAGAATGCTATTCCCGGTCAACTCGCACAGGACCCGCGCGCATCTCCACGTATGTCGGTGTCTCAGATGAAGGGCGACGGACGCGTAGCTCCTCGATCTCCGACCAATGTCTCCAATGCGATGAACAGTGCGCTTCCATCTCAAGTGATGACGCCGACTCAGATGCAACAACAACGACGTATGAGCACGCAGATCAGCAGCCCCGCAATGCAGCAACCCCAGCCTGTAATGAACCACGGCGGGCCCAGGCCTTCAGTCCCTCCAATGACCCAGCAATCCCAACACCAACAGTCACCAGAGCTCGTCGCCGGAGGAGCGCAGCCTGAGGAGGCGCCGCTCTACGTGAATGCTAAACAGTTCCATCGCATCTTGAAGAGACGTCTCGCGAGGCAAAAGCTTGAGGATGCGCTGAGGCTGACGTCCAAGGGACGAAAGCCATACCTGCATGAGTCCAGACACAATCACGCCATGCGCCGTCCCCGTGGTCCCGGTGGTCGCTTCTTGACGGCAGAGGAGGTGGCTGCAATGGACAATGCGGCTGCAAAAGGCGAGGGTGAAGATGGCAACAAGGAGAACGCATCCATGCCTTCCAAGCCCGCCAGCTCTGTGCCAAAGCGCAAGGCATCCGCGACGCAGCTCAAGGGAACACCAACTATCAAGAAGAACAAGGCGGGTGCTGTGCAGCGTCACAGCACAAGTGAAGAGGACGAAGAAGAGGACGACGATGATGTTGAAGACGAGGGCTAGATTCCCATCGCCGCCAACATCTCATGCTCCTTCTACGATTCGACTTCTACACCTCTTTAATTTCGACATCTGATATTCTTGACAGTTCCTTTCGGGAGCTCCCCTTCATTTCACGACTTACGAAGCGAGTGCTTTTGGGAAATCCGGTTGGCTTATGCATTTTACCCCTGTTGTCAGTCATGGACGCTTTCACACACAAATTGTCTTAGCTAGGGACTGGGTGGGATTGGGTCACACACACACGGTGGGGCGGTCGGAGCATACGGCACTCACTCGGACGTTGGGAGTTATGTTGTTGCTTTCTATTCCTGTCTGCGGATGTGTGGACTATCATTTTCTACTCCTGTTATCTTCTTGTTTTATCTGTTACGATCAAATACCCACACTCGCTATCTAGCTTGGCGAGAATACCCAACCACTGGCCTGGAGTGCCAGTGGCTACAATAGAAAGGGTCCTCCTTCATCGGACGAAAACCAATACCATTCCACTTACTCAAGAGGAGCTCTTCCAGTACCGACTGTTGTCTCTTGATGTTCAATATTCAAAGCTGTGTGCGATATAGGCCACTCCCGCCTTCAGGGTAAAGCGTCGTACTAGCTCGTGTATAACTTGATGCGATTGTTTATTCAATATATCACATTATGCGTGAAACCAAGCTGTCAGAAGCACAATGTTCCCACTGCTGAGGATCGTGATTTGTACCAAAACCGCACGTCGGAGTTGCACTTGTCTTCCCGTATGTTGGTCTCATCTCTCTGATCTTTCAGCCTCGTGCTTCACTGTGAAGGGACTTGTGACATGCTTAATCACATTTGCGACTGGCGGATCTATGAGAACCGCGTCACTACGTGAAAGAGAGAAACCGAATATCTTTTTAGAGCAGAGTACTTTCCTACTACAACAAATTATATTAGAGCCATATAAAAATTGATAGAAATCCTAGAAGTCTACAATTCTATTAATCTTTATAATCTCTGTTCTTGGAAGCTAATGTAAGCTGTAAGGTAGAGCTTCTTATCTCTACCTGTTCGGTTTGTCTCTTGTGTAGGGTGGCGTGCAGATCTCCACAGTAGTGGATTGGTCATTGCTAAGTAATTCGTTGCGGAATTGGTGTGCGGAACCGCGCCTCGGTAAGTAACCGGAGATCTGCACATGAGAAGTGCGGAGCTTCTGCAGGCCGGATATGTACACCAATTTCGAGTGTGCTACGATAAGCATTGTTCTGGCTACTTCCATGTACGACCTACATGATGAATTCTTCGTCGTGCAGTCCTGCCACCCCTCATTCATCACAACCGCAAAAACATGACGAAGAGCCCAGCCAGCCAACACTCGGCGGATGAGTCAATCCGAGAAGTACAGGACGATACGTATGATGAGCCTGACGACCAAGAAAGAGATAGGATCGAAGAAGAGTGGCGCAACAGCATTCGCATGAAGGTTGACCTTCGACTTTGCAGCATCGCAGGAATCTTGTGCTCGCTCAATCTACTCGACAGCGGCGTGATATCCAGCGCATCCGTTACGTCGATGCTCAGCGACCTAGACCTGGACATCGGTAATAGATACTCGGTCTCTATCTTCATCTTCACAATTGCAAGCATTGCTTTCCAGTTGCCGTCAACAATTGCTGTGCGCACTTTTGGTCCGCGTATCTGGTTCGCCTTGATCACTTTCTGTTTCGGCATCATTACACTGTGCACGGCTTTCGTACAGACATGGCGGCAAATGATTGCACTTCGCATCCTGCTTGGTATCGCCATGTCGGGTATCTACCCCGGATTGACTTATCTCATCTCGACATGGTACACGCGGAAAGAGCAACAGCTTCGCTTTGCCCTGATGCAGAGTGGAGAAGTCATTGTCTTGGCAACGGGTGGTATCGTCAACTTCGGGCTCAACCAGCTTGATGGCCAATATCTCAAGGGATGGCAATGGATGTTCGTCGTGCAAGGAAGCATCACTGCGTTCTTTGGCATCTTGACCTATTGGTGGATGGTCGACTTTCCCGAGCACGCGCAGAACTCTTTCTACTTCCTCACGCCCCACGAGAGCGCGTTGGCATCTTCTCGCATTCAAAAGGACCGAGGCGATGTCAAGCCTGACGACTTTGCTTGGTCCAAAGTCTTTGTTCACGCCAAAGATGCAAAAGTCTACGGATTCTGCATCCTTTACTTCCTGCAGAACCTTGTCTCGACGTCGCTCTCCTACTTCTTGCCCATTATTCTGCAAGGCGGAATGGGCTTCTCTTCTGATAAATCGATCTTGCTCTCTGCGCCGCCTTATTACTACGCGGTTCTCCCCGCCATCTTGTCCTCGATCATCGGCGACAAGTTTCAGCTAAGAGGGCCAATCATAGTTTTGAACTGCGTCTCTCTAATTATCGGGTTTTGCATGCTGGGTTTCTCAGACCAAGTCACAGTGAGATATATCGGCACCTATCTTGCGACTGGAGCATACGTGGCGAACTGGGCTGCCATGGCGACTTATCAAGCGAACAATATCTGCGGCCAGTGGAAGAGGGTGTTCACGGCCGCGATGGTCACAGCCTTCAACGGAGCAGGAGGTATTGCTGGAAGCTTCATTGTCAGACAACCGGAGAGTCCGAGGTATATGACGGCGATTTGGGTGAGCATAGGGAGCCACATTTTGATCATTGGACTAGTTGGTGTGTTCTCGGTGTTCTTCTACATTTCGAACAGGCGGCAGACTAGGGGAAAGCGACTATTGGAAGGGACGGAGGGTTTCAAATTCACCTATTAGGCGAAGAGCATAGAGGAGAATACGGTTGACCTAAGGCAGACCCTGAGAAAAATCTACTCTACCAGTATTCCCAAGTCGCATTACAGTGCCGCCTAGTTTTGACCATGCTTACGTATGCCCTGTGCAATTGGGCACCATTCCGCGTCAATGAGTCCAGGCAGGTGAGTCGTGAGGGAGCAACGTACCCAGGCAACAACAGAAACATGTGAGCTTGTCATGCACAAAGTGGTTCGCCGACATGCTTGACCAGTCACAGGAACATGGGATGAAAGCGGGTTGACGTCGGTGTGGGGACCGTCTGGGACAAGGCGGATTGGCTCGTGCTGAGTCGCTCACAAGCATCGTCGACCCAACTCCCATCTGTCTCACCACTCCCGGCTGCTACAGCACGAGCATCCCCGCAGTCCCGGTTATCGAGCGCTCCTAGCAAGTTATCCTATTCGAACCCCTCTGTTTTCTGCTTCTCCAGCTGCTGGCCGCCGATTTGGTAGCGTCAAGCAGCTTCCCCCTGTCCAGCTGGCCCCTCGAACGGCAACAGCACCCCCGTGGCCCTCCGCCGAGCTTATGCGCATCGGCACAGGCTGTACATAGATTTCACAACCTATTCCGACACGCCGTACACACGTTCTGAGTCCGCGCCGCCCTCGTAGCCGCCACAATGGTGTTCCTAGGCATATACCGCGCCATCTACGACTATGAGCCCCAGAGCAGCAATGAGATCGCCCTTGACGAGGGCGACATCTTGATGGTCCTGGAGAAGTCGACGATTGACGCCTGGTGGAAAGCGAAGAAGAAGGGACGCGATGGAGACGATGAAGAGCCCGAGGGCTTGATCCCGAACAACTATATTGAAGAGGTATGCTGCGCCTCGTCCACAGCACAGAGCTCAGCTTGGGTCGCAAAGCTATACCACACACAACACCACCGTTTGTAAAGATTCCTGTAGTCTGGAGACTGACAATGTTTACAGGCCGCACCCATCGCCCGCGCCAAAGCCCTATTCGATTACGACCGCCAGACAGACGAAGAGCTCTCTTTCAAGGAAGATGCCATTCTAGACGTTTACGACACCACAGATCCCGACTGGACACTGGTCGGAGTCGAAAGCGACTATGGCTTTGCGCCTGCGAATTACATCGAGCTTACCGAAGACGATGCGGCAGCACCAGCAGCACCAGCAGTGGCATCTCCAGCGCTGCCAAGTCGCCCGCCAATGCCGGCAGCGAGGGACTCTTTTGACGACGACCAGCCGCCTACTCCTGACACTCCCCCAACGCAGAGTCCCGCTGCCGCCCTGGCTGGCATTATACAGAAGAAGTCGCAAGAGGCAGCTCCGCGATCGACCATCTCCCCCCCACCTAATGTAACCGCGCCTCCAAAACAACAACGACGCGTGCAATTTCCCCCGGAAGAGTCGGACGAAGAAGCGCCACCGCCTCGTCTTCCCACGCGGCCCGAATCCGAAATACACTCGCCCCCACCGACTCAATACACGCATGCGCGGTCCCCATCGCCTCCGGTCAGATCGCCTCCACCCCGGAGCGTCACATTTGACCAGTATGATCCTCCAAGTAGGGACGAGCAGCCCGCGACGCCCATGTCCGGCTCTGGATATCGTCTGTACAACATCTACGAGTACATCACGCAGCCAGGCAAGAATAAGAAAATGCCAATCACGCTGGGCGTCAACATCCCGAAAGGAATGATTATGATTGCGCCCGAGAAGTCGCGCGATGGACCACAACAGGAGTGGAGTGCAGATAAGATGGAGTACTACTCACAAGAGGGCAAGCACATATTCATGGAGCTCAAACAGCCAAGCAAGAGCGTTGATTTTCATTGCGGCGCTAAAGACACTGCATCTGAGATAATGCTGGCTCTTGGTGAGCTTGCCGGAGCCGCTAAGAGCGCAGGACTGCGCGAGGTGATAGCTGCTGGCTCCGGAAATTCTAATGTGCAGAAGAAGGGTGTCATGCTATTCGATTTCATGGCACAGGGCGATGACGAGGTTACCGTCGGTCTTGGCGATGAGATCTTGGTTATCGACGATTCTGCCAGTGACGAGTGGTGGAAAGTCAGGCGGCTCAAGAATGGCAAAGAGGGTGTCGTACCAGCTAACTACGTTGAAATTACAGAAACCGTCCCCATACATGCTCCTGCAGCCGCCATGGCTCGATCGGGAACCAACGCTGGCCGATCCATCGTCGAACAGAATAGGCGGGAGGAAGAGGAGCTTGCTCGCCAGGCCTCAAGACGGAAGAGGCCAGAAAATGAGGCAAGGAACGATCAGGTAGGCCCTGGCCTGCACTTGCCTTCGCGTAACTCTAGTCTCATGCAAACAAATGTTGACCATCGTCGTACTTCACAGAGATCATCAAGCAAGCGCGAAAGCTCCGCGAAAGACTCGAGTTCGAAGTCCTCGTCTAAGCCAAGTCAGTATACAACAATTTCACTACTTGAGTTTCTTGATCTGTCTCTTACAAAGGGGTCTGCGCCTTCGGTGGACGCTGGACATCTACCTAGTGGGACACAAAAGCACGCAATTTGTGCGAGGAGAGATGCTAATTGAATTTGTTAGATGCTGCCAAAGTACGCACTTGGACCGACCGCTCTGGATCATTCAAGGTTGAGGCAGAGTTTATCCTGATCAAGGATGGCAAAATTCACCTACACAAAGTCAATGGCGTCAAGATCGCCGTACCGGTCACAAAGATGTCCGTAGAGGACCTCGAATATGTAGAACGCGTTACAGGAGAGTCTCTGGATGACGACAAGCCTTTGTCGGATCTGAAGAGGAGAAGCATGCAGCAGCCTCGCCCAAAGGACTCTGGTCCAACCGGCATTTCTGTCGAGAGGAAGCCAGAGTACGATTGGTTTGACTTTTTCCTCAAGTGCGGCGTTAACCCCCAGATCTGTGAACGCTACGCTAGGGCATTTACCAAGGACGAAATGACAGAAGAAAACATACCAGATATTACTCCTGGGCTTCTGCGTACGTTGGGTCTCAAGGAAGGTGACATTCTCCGTGTCACCAAGCACTTGGACGCACAGTTCGGAAGGGATAAGCGAAATGCTGAAGATGGAGGAGAGGGAGCTTCTGGTGGCCTGTTCTCCGGCCCGGGAGGTGCACTGAGAAACAACACTCGTAAAGGACGTCCTGCACCGCCTGTTGAAACAAACGATGTCGTTGACCCGAAAGCGTTTGAGTCAAAGTCCGATGACACAGTCAAGAAGCCCGCAGATGGTACCCCGACACCGCTGGCGTCCGCACCCACTCCTGACAAGACTGCAAATGGATTTGACGATAATGCATGGGATGTCAAGCCATCAAAATCTGCGTCCACCCCTGCGCCTGCAGCATCTCCGCCAGCAGCACAAGCACCTGCAGCGAAACCACCCCAGCTGACCGGATCTATGAACGATTTGTCTCTCTTGGATATGCCTGCGCTCAAGCCTGATGAGATTGCTCAGCCAACACCTCCCGCTCCGGCACCCCAGCCAACGCAAGCGCCTGTTCAACAGCCTCCCGCTCCCGCTCAGCAGCCACAACCGACCGGCGCTACCCCTACCCTGTTTGAACAGGTTGCGGCTATTAAGGCTCTTACCCAGCCTCAAAACATGGCTCCACCGCGTATGCGGCCACAAGCTCCTCAACAGCAAAACACTGGTGGTCTCATTGCTCCACCGCCGCAGCGGTCTTCCTCTGCCCCTATGAATCCGCAACAAAGTGCTTTTGGCCCTCCACCACCTCTACAACCTCAGCTCACAGGCTACAACCCCAACATGATGGGCCAGAACTCCGGACAGGGCATGCCACCGATGCAACAGCAAATGACAGGCTTCCCACAGCAGAATGGCGGTTTTGGGTTCCAGCAAAACGGCATGATGCCGCAACCCACAGGCTACAACTCCATGTCTCCACCTCAGCAACAGCCCATGCAGACTGGGTTTGCACAATACCAACAACAGCAGCCAACCGGTTTCCAGCAGCCCATGCAAACTGGCTTCCAACAGCAGCCCCACTTCACCCAGGGCTTCGGGAATGGCAGTCCCTTTGCCGACCCACCACGCGCACCGTTCCAGCCCCTCCAGGCTCAGCCCACTGGTTACAACTCGTTCCAACCATCCCCGCTTAACCCACAGGCGACTGGCGTCAACCGCTTCTTACCCCCGGCCCTTGCGCCACAGCCAACCGGTTACCAAAGCACTCCGCCTCTTCCTCCCATGCCGCCAATGCCTTCGATGCCTACGGCTCAGCCTTTGGTGCCACAGAAGACCGGTCCACCCCCAAGCATCAAGTTTGGTGTACAGCCCGCCAAGAAACTTACGCCTCAGCCGACCGGGAGGGCGAACCTTGCCAATGCCAGTAAGTCTCTAAAACTGTTTTGTGTAATCACTTTCTAACCATCGATCAGCTCCTCAAAATCCTTTCGGTTTCTAATTCCACTTGCGATGGTTGTTCGCTCTTTTCGTACCCCTTTGCTTACTTACGGGGCATCCGCTTAATTACCCTACCACCATATGTATATGTACATAAGTTCTGTGATACTTGTTCGTTGTTCGGAGGTGTGGATTCGCAAGGCCCGATAGCATTCTTCATCACTTCACATAGCACTTACTTGCATTCAACCCCCCCAATTACACGCAATCCGGCGTCTTTGCTGTTATTTTTTCTGCTTTACACAGCCATTGCTTTGATTTGGGTATGCTGGTAGGCCCGATGTTGATTGTTACGGAAAATCAGCATGCGCCACTTTATCGGCCCTTTAATTACATGTCTAGAATGGGGCTGAGATGCGTGGTATGATGGCTCAGCTACGGAGATGGTCGGACCTACGTAGCTTGTAAAACAGAGATAGTCCAAACCTAGATGTGCTTCTAGACAATGTGACATACTCAGAGCAACTGCACAAAGCGTATGTCATAAGTGCGGGATAGATTCACCCCTGTTCTCGAGCTGTGGTTCACCCCTTCGCGCGAAACAGATGCGAGACCAAGCCTTTGCCAAGTAAAGCTTAGCCCAACACATCAATGGCATGAGCACCCCTGCTGTGGCTGGCTGGCCGATCCGATGTCGCATCCACACAAAACCGCGCACGCGTTCGTGGCTCTGCTTGTCAAGTGTTGCAACTCAAGATAGAGCGTCGTGAATGTACATTGACCAGATGCATCAGTGTTAAGGGCTTCGTCATCGTGCAGCCAACCCAAGAAAATGCCCGATGTCGCGCTGTCAAAAAGCATGACAAGCAGGTGTGGCGATGACGAAAGCACACCAAGCTTCCTTCGTACCCCGGTTTATTTGCGCCAATAGTTGGGCCCACTGCGAATGTGGCTCATGCTAACTAGCGTAATAGACCGGCTGGGCCGAGTGATGCATGTCCGCGTGAGTGAGTGAGAGGATGCGCGCGTTTTAAAGGCGGCGCATCCCCTCGCTCCCAGTGGAAGGATCCACTGTATTTCCTCCAGCCTTACGTTGCCTTACTCCTACCTTCACTCTCAACGCCCTACTTCGCAAGGGGTGCTATCGTCTTCACAAGCGAGAATCAAGATTCTGGTGGTTCCTCGGCGAAAGCTTGGTATTGGACTTGGTTGCGCGACACCTGATTACTACCGGTTGCTGCCTCATCCTACGTACATCACCGGCGAACAAACGGATCGCGAACGCATAGCATCAAGCCGAACGCGACTCTCAATCCACACAATCTAGAGAATCGGTTTAATAAACATGTCGAACCAAGGCTACTACCAAGGCGGTCCTCAGTACCCACAACAAAGGTACGTTGTTTTCTACCCCAAATCGACAACTCGCACCTGTGTCGCAAAGTCATGCACACTTGATTCTTTTCCCAATATCCAAAATATTATACTTGGTGGAAGATGCTAACGCCATTCTCACAGCTACGGCCCCCCAGGCGGCCAAGGCTATGGTCAACCACAATATGGCGCTCCACCACCACAGCAACAAATGTACTACGGCCCTCCGCAAGGACAGTATCAACAGGGCCCACCACCCAAACAGAAGAAGGACAGGGGTTGTTTGACAGCCTGGTAAGTTGGTACCGTACACAATTAAAGAACAAGGAACTGCAACTAACAGAAGATTAGTCTGGCAACACTTTGCTGTTGTTTCGTTTGCGAGGAGGGATGCGAGTGCTGTGCTGATTGCTGCGAGTGTGCGGCAGAGTGCTGCTAGACAGTAGGAATGGTAATGAGGAGTGGCATAGGGGCACTGAGCGACTATCGGGTATTGAGAATATGGTGTCAGCACATGTCGGTCATGCGGCTGAGTTTTGGCGAGACGTGAGTCGGCTCACATGTTCATGATTGGCTTTCTGTTTCTTTGAGTATACCTGATCGCTTCCGGGTTCTTTTTACAATGTTCAATCCATGGCCTTTTTGTTTCTCGTAACAAAAGCAGTGCATGCTTCTTCATCCATTGATCCGGAGCCGACTTTCTTGTCTAGCCAACTTTGATGCATTCATGGTCTTGTTGGCTTGGCCTATAGAGCTTTGAAGAGGGAGAAACACACGTTTGACACTCAGTGAGCTCACGTTTGCATGTCCTGTAGCCTTGTTCTTCTGAATAGGGCTTCTGGTTTTGAAAGTCGAAATGATATAGTAAAGAAGCTGCAAGACGAAGGCTCATATACGTGCCGTCAGGGGCTTTCGTATGTGCTGTTTCCGCAAGCATCTTAATGCAAAGTCACTAAAACGTAAGCCCGCATAGCCTTTTATGTTCCCATTGGAAAGTCATCGTACAAGAATTTCAAAGTGATATCATAGGTGTCTATTCATCAGCAAAGGCAAGAGGCCAACCCGATCTCAATGCCTGCTTGCACAATAGCCACAGGATTCCCGATCGCAAGCTTTTTGCACGCACCCATCGTCACTTGTTAATCACCAGCAACACCTTATACATCCTTCCAATTCCGACTTGTCACCCTGTCTCTTACATCCGATCTTTGTCCTCTTCCAATATCTCGATACTCTCTCGCGAGCCCACCCCTCTCACTGCCTTGATCAATCATTCTCATGGTTCTCTTCTCTTCTACAAACGTAGCAGGCTGCCCGATTTCATCGATACCTTTCCAACTTCTGACTTCAGTGATCTCTCCAGAGTGCGTGCTCTCCGAATCAGTGTTATCTTCCTCCTGTCTTCGGCAGTTAGATGGCGGGGTCACATGCCCGGTACGCTCGAGAGCTCGTGTGCGGGTAACGTGACGATATAGTGGCTGTGGTGGACGCTCGGGCGACGGAGAGGAGGGTGGTGCACGTGGTGTATGGCGAGCGGTTAGAGGAGAAGTACGCCGGAAGCGAGTTTCTTCATAGCGTCTAGAAAGTGGAGGAGAGGGCGAGAGACGGCGCTGTCGATCGATACGAATCTCTTCTTCGTACTGTTTTCTTGGAGATGGCGATGAGTGACGAATACGGATCCTTTCAAAATCCTGAGTTGGTGACTCAGGCGGAGGGCCATCGACGACTCGGTGCCGAGAATACCCCTGATAGTGATTGTAGTTGTTGCCGCTTGCCATTCGCGTATCTAAATACCTTGGTCTGCCTCTTGGTTCAAGTACCGGCTCCTCTTGCCTTCCTCCTTCACCAAAATGGACATGTGGCCCTCCCACTTCGACATGCATTCTCTCTTGGCTTTCGCGCACTATGTCCTTCCTCCGGTAAGAGGTCTCGCGATCGGTGCCTACGGGTTTCAGAATACTCCGACTAGGTGATTCCAGACGGCGACGCGGCACAGAGTCAGCGTTGCTCGAAGTTTCATCTGACAACTTCACAGAACTACGACGCTCTGGAACGATTGACCGGTACGGCCTTGCATGCGATATAAGGCGAGCTTCCGCTTCCTCGCTCCGCCTCTCAGCACGGAAGCTGACTCGGACGGGAGATCTACTTTGACTCCTAGACCTTCGTTCTTGCGACTCAGTCCGATACATGACTCTCGTGGATCTCGTCTGAGGCGGAGGAGACGGACTGAGCTCGACGATCCTGGAACTCACTCGGCGTGAGGGGCTTCTCTCAATCTTCCTATAGGAATGAGTATGGACAATATCTGGTGGAGGCCATACCTCATCGGATTTTGAGACACGACTGGGGAGTGGCGCAGGCGGCGCAGAGTATACTTGATCTGACTGTGTTGCCCTTGAGCGAATAATGTCAGGCGGGAGCCAGGCTTCTCTAGCGTACCTTGACGAACGACGAGGACTCAAAGAAAAAGTGTGTGTTCTCCGCTCAGTTCTAAGTTCCTCTCGAGGTCGTTGGAGAGCTCGTAGTCCTAGGTATGCTTGACTAGACTCACGTCTAATCACGCGTGGGCGACTGGGAGAGTAGCGCGCAATATAGGCTTCCTCTCTGCTTCGCCTCCGACCCCTGCGCTCATCATGTTCGATGTCGATGTGGACACACTCTCCAAGCCATTCACATGGCACATCGGCCGTACACTTTCGGATGTGTGTGTATCTGCTGCTTGAGCGGTATGAGCTCTTAAGCTTCTTCTCGCATCGTCGGCAGAGTGTGGGAACCATAGGCTTGCCAGGGAGGACCGGGTTACTGCGATGGAAGCCTGCGGAGCGCATTTGGCCGCAGTGACTACAGGTGTGACAGAGCATGACTGGTACAGCCACTTCCTCGACCTGCAGTGGTGGTGCCGCAGTTGCCTGGGATTGCCCATATCGTTGGTAGTGATATCGTTCGCTTGTCTGCTGTGATCTTGACTCCATATTATCCTGCTGCATATTCCGTGACGATGGCACCATGGCGCTCGTAAGTGGAGCCATTCGCCGATGATCTATATCAGAATTCTGGTTGTTATACTGCCAGTCGGCGTTAGATCCTAGTGGAGGCGGGGGCTGAGGGATATAGTCCCTTGGTACCTGAGCATATCCTAATGGACCAGCTGTGGAAATCTGTTGTTGACTCTGTTGCTGTGCCTGCGGATCTAAAAGCGGCGCTGGGCGCTGTGGGATTCCGGTCTGACTGTAGATGCCTTGGCCGTATCCAGCCTGCGGATAGCCTCCCTGATATCCTGGAAACGAAGCGACGGAAGAGGAGGCTGCCGGTGGGGGTGTTGGTGCCGCAGGAGGTATTCCAAGGCCTGGAAATTGCTATAAAGATGTAAGCTGTAGTCTGTCGATTGGCGAATCACGCGAGAGACCGAACAAGACAGTCCCATTTCAAGCACTCCTGTATCTCATTGTTAGCCAACCTGTAGTCTCTGGGAACCGTGACGCACTCACACACTGAAAAGATACGAGTTGGCTGGCTGGGCGAAGGAACCCGGGTACTGAGGAATTGGCTGACCTTGGTTTTGGTCTTGTCCGTTGCTGCCACTGCCACTGCCGCCAGTGCGGCCCATGTACGACTCAAAGGCCCTTCTCTGCTCTTCATTGGCCATTGTGTGGTTGTGGTAGGTGCGGACGTGCGACTGGACGTGTAGGAGGAAGGCCGAAGAGCGGCGCTGATTATCGAAGCCACGTGGGCGCCGAAGGAGAGAGGTGCAAATAGGTGTCAAGAGGAAAGAGCGACAGGAAGAAAGGTGGGGCAAACTGAAGATGGACTCAGAGGACTGTAGAAAATCATGTCGCCACGAGCGGTGAACGGGAGGTCAAAGTGAAGGAGGGTCGCGTGACCGCAATCCATACCCATCGTATACAGTCGTCGTACTCGAGCCGTGTCGCCAGCCACGGTATCTATGCATTCTTGCCGCAACTCACCTCATGGATGCCTGCAATGGGAGCTAATATTCTTTTATTTCTTCCCAGACGCCCGCCTGCGAACAATGCCAGTATGGCTTATTTTGTACAAATGCTACAAATCTCTAGCAAGATCGTCATATACCTGGAAATCTACTCCACTCTCAAGACCCTAGGTCCCTTTCTCTTGGTGGACCTCTTCTTCTTGTGGCCCTTGTCAAACGACACGGCGCTTTGGTGATCGCGGCCAAAGTTGTCGAGATCCTTGACCTTGTAGATCCTAATGATCCAGTTCTCGCTGGTAAAGGCCTCCTCGATGGTGCTGAGCTCAGGGCCCTGTGCGGGGAGACGCGCGTTACGAACACGATCCTGGGCCTGTCCAGCGGGGAACAGTGCGTTGTAGTTGTAGTACGACATCTTGTACCTGGTAACGTTGTTAGTGGCTGTTATGGCTGGCTGGAAATAGATCACTTACATCAAGCTGTTCTTCATAGTTTTGGTGGCCTCACCGTCTACGCGGGACTCGCCTCGTGGGGTGAAGAAGTTGCGCTCCTTGACCTCATCAGGCCAGATACCCTCAGCGATCCTGACCATCCAGAGGAACTTGTTGATGTCATCGCCAGAGTAGCCTAGAAGACCACCAAAGACCACCAAAACGTAGTCAACCTCGTGCTGGCGCATGATGGGGTAGCTGACTTCCTCCCTGGAGCTCATAGCCTTACCAACGGTAGCAATGTGCGTGTTGTTCCAGGTGTTGTTGTCGACAAGGGTAGGGCGGTCGGCCATACCGCCAATCTGGTAACCGTAGTCCCACCAAGACATGATCTTGGCGTTCTGGGGGGTGTTCTGCCTAAGCCAGTAGTATGCCTCGCGGTAGTCATCGATGATGTGTTGGCTGCCGTCAGGAAGCTTGGATGCGAGCACGACCGAGGGCGAAGAGTAGGCGTTGGAAGTGACCCATGTGCAGTGAAGGACGAAGAGCATGAGGTAGATGGCGGAGGCTCCGGCAACGGTAAGCTTGGAGGCGTATGAGTAGATTCCAACGAGCGGGTTGCGCGTAGATCGGAGACCTTCGGGGATCACTGCTGCAGCGGCAACTGAGACAGCATCAGTGCTACCGTTCTCAGTAACGGGCTTGGGAGTCTTGACGTCCAGGTAAGTATCGAGGATCTTGGAGAAGGCCATGGCTGATGCTACGCAGACAATGGGAGTCAGAGTAAGCATGAGACGAACCATGACACCAGCGAAGTAGCTGGCAAGCACAGCGTAGATGACGATGAAGACCTGCTCATCGGTCAAAGTCTGGAAGCACAGGTAGACACCTGCGGGGAAGAGCCAGATCATGAAGTTGAGATCGAAGAAGAAGGCAGGCCACGCGGTAGGCTGATGTTCGGAGACAGAGGCAATGATGGGAATGTGGATCTTGGCATATCCGGTGTCCCAGAGCGAGTAGAAACGGCCGGTCCAGGGCGCGATGACTCCGGAGACAGTCAGAAGCACCAGTCCTCCAACACCGATGACGAAGACACCGAGGACTAGAGCGCGGAGTAGCGTCTGGAACTGCTTGCCGGGAAGTTGTGCGCGAACCCAGTCGACAAAGGCAACCAGCTGGAGGAGGCCAAAGACACCAAGCGCGGACATGTGCTCGCTACTGCGGATAGGCAAGAAACCAACAAAGGGAATCTGCATACTCGCAAGCGTGCCGAGCGCATACCACGATGTGTAGCTAACGTACAATCTCGGGCTGTATCGTCCCATGCAGATCAAGACGAAAACATGCAGAGGCAGCAAGTTGGTGATGAAGACGTATCCACCCCACGCTGACACCATGTATCCGTAGAACAGGGCACTCATTGCGCCCCAGAACATTGATCCGTTCTTAACCGCCTTGATCCACAGATAAAAGGTGAAGACCAGCAGGAAGATGGCGATGGCCTCGTTGTCGTAACTTCCCGCAACGGATCGCGAAATGTAACCAGGCGTGATGCCCATGAAGGCTGCGGCGAGCAGACCAGCGGAGGGAGATGGAACCATCTCGGAGGTCAGGAGATAGGTTGCGAGCGCGGTAAGGCCTGAGAAGGCGGGGGCGAGCAGGACACAGATGTTTCGAATGTCAACAGGAAGGCTGATGGCGCGGAGGAAATGGTAGATGACACCGCTGGTGACCATCAGTCCTGGGTAGAGAGTACCACCGGTAACTCGCCCAAGAGGATGCCATGTTCCTGTATCCCAAGTTAGTCAATTGCGTCTTGAGGGTGCTGAGGGGGTGTGCGGCCGAGGTGCGCGTACGGTCGTCGAACCAGTCCCAGAAGCTGTAGAAGCCATTCTGTACTAGGTATTTCGTTGCTCGGAAGTTGAACCACGGATCGACTGTGAAGCATAATCAGTCAATTGCTTTGATACTGTTGCATTGCAGTACTGACACTCGTGGATGATGCTCTCAAAGCGGATCACGGAGAACAGACGGCTGCTTACTGCAGCGGCAGCGATGAGGACCAGGATAATCACTCGAAGCAAGCCTCGAGTGTTGCGGCCAGTCGCCTGCTTGAGGAGCTGCCCGTCATCTGCGGCGGCAGCCATGTTTGCAGGAGAAGATAAAGGAGGGTGAGGTTGTTGGTCGCAAGGCCGCGTCACGGAACTTCTCGAGAGCTATGGTTCATGAGCACACGTTTCCAACTCCACGCCTCGGCATTTGGTTTCGCCGACATGCTTTCACCCACCCCTGCAACGTCATCATCATCGCGGGTGAACAATACCATGTATTTGGGGGGGATTTTCTTTCACTTGATCACTGTGATCATATTATTACAAGCTTGACCAAATACTGGTTAGACTATCTAAAGGGTATCTCCATCCTGGTCACCCATGCGCCGTGAGCTACGAACCTCATCCAAAGAAGTCCATCGATTCCATCATGAAAGTCTCATCCTCTTGGAAATTGCAATCAGTGCACAGTTGATGGGGGCAATTGGTACACGCAACGTCAACGACACCACACGGACTTCTGCAAGAACACTGTGATAGTTAGCCAAAACCGTACTTACCTGAATGATGGGCGGCTTACACAGTAGCGGTTCATTATAAGCGTAGTTTGCTTGCGCTTTGGCAGCTGCGGGGCATATGTGTCGTCTTCAACTGGCCGTTTCCTCTTACTCGCCTTCACAAAGCCCGGTGGAGGCGGTGGGGATGTCGTCGTCGCATGTGTTGGCATCGGCATCGGCATCGGCGTCGACATACCAGACATGTTGTGTCGACGAAGCTGTGGTCGCGGCTGCGGGGCGTCATCGTCGTCTCCAACAGCATCTACATCACCATCCTTCTCTCTCTCATCCTCATCATCGAAGCGTTCTCGTTTCAAATTCTCTTCAAGCAAGTCCTTTTTCAGTCGGTTCTCCTCAGCACATATCCAATCATCGATGCTTCTCTTCTCCTTCTCGAAGTGATACGCAATATGATCAAACCGCTCATCCCATGCTGCATTGCGCCGTTCTTTGAGCTGCTTTACAACCCCGCATAAACCACACCAGAAAGAGCCTTGACAGTTCTTTCCAATCTTGCTATTGTCCAAGCGCTTTTGGGCTTCCTCGCATGGGGTCTTGTGCTGCGTCTCTAGGTGGTTTCTGAATGCTCCTTCTCGGTGGAGGTGCACACCGCAAACTTCGCCTGTCGGAAGTGTCTCATCGCAACGAAAGGCTTCCTGTTGGAAGTGCTGGCTGTTCTCGTGGCGCTTCCAGTCCGACTTTGCCCCGAATCGTTTGTGGCACTTGGGATATGTGCAGCCATAAGGCCGATCGTGTCGTTTCATGTGTTTGCGCAGATCGCAATCACGAGCGACTGCGAATCCGCAATCGGGGTGTGGACATTTCTTATCATTATGAAGCGTGTCTTTGCTGTTGCGACGCTGTCCTGTATTGGAAGATACTGGGCCTTTGTTCAGAAGCTTCGTTACCATGTCCATTAACACCGCATTCTTCTCCGGCCTCGATTGCTCCACAGATCTGTCTTCGCATTCAGCCTGGTCCTTCGCTTTCTGTATCATCTCCAAAATGATGCTTTCGAGGTCCACAGGGCTCGGTGAGTGTGACTGTCGCTCAGACTTCTTTTTAAGCTCCTTTTGTTGCTCAGCCTTAGTCTGTGGGGCATTGGATAGTGCAGAACTGGACGAAGACTGTTGAAGTTTGAGGCTGTTTCTTCCAGGTACGCGAGAAGCCGTCTTGGTGGTAAGCAGAGGCTTCTGTATTGGCTGGGAAGACACTCCCGGTGCATGATATCGAGGGCGTGTCGACTTTTGCATTTTCTGAATGCCAGTGTTGTGAGGTGCGGAGGTGGGTTTAGCCCTAGACGGCCGAGACAGTGATTGTATGTTTCCCACTGGGTTGGAACTTGGTCCAGACGATAATGAATGTCTGGCATTCTGTGGCGAAAGGAAGTCCAACACGGGCGGCATAGTTATGGTCGGACTGACTGAAAAGGGATTCTCCATCCCGGATACTGCAATATCAATGTCCATTGGTGTAACGCTAGCTTCCTCCATCGGAGTGTCAGCGTTCTTTGGGTGGCATATTGATCTACCAATGTCAGTTTAGCTGGTGCTTTGAGCGGAAAGCAAACGCATTTACCTTTCTATGACATCAAGGACGTTTTCACCTTTATGCATCCTCTCTACATGCTGCTTGAAGTTGTCTAGACGCGGCCACGTCTT